ACTGCAGCAGACACCAAAACCACCGAACCGTAGGAGCATATGAATGCTCTCAGGCATATGAATGTTGTATACAGCCGAATAGGAAAAACCATGCGAATAGGTTTACACTCCTAGCAGTCAAACTGGAACAGCATACAATAAATCCTCCCCCAATAATGAGACGACACTTCACTTTGAGGGTTAAGTAGGAACTCACTGGACTGGCACATACAGCCTCTCTTATTCCCAATCCACAAACTTAGTACTGCCGACAGGGTTGTACAGAACAACCAATAACACGTACAATACACTCAGCCACTCCCACACAAAATCCTCCCCTCTGTCTGTGATACAATTACCTTACACAATGGGTAATCTAATTATCACAGACAGAGAAATACAGTTTCATAAAACACATCACAGGGACCCCAAAACATGCAATAACCCCATAAAACCGGGGAATCTGGGTGAACCACATATCCAAAATTCACCCAGATCCGTTCAGTACTTTGGAAGATACAGTTTAATGCAGATTCTGCAGAACATATACAGACTAAATGAAAAACAATCACTGTATAATGTGTCCCCTGCTGTATAGTCCAAAACCACTGCACGATGTCTCTGTGCACCAAATACTGGCGACATGGCACCGTGTTGAAAAGTCCAAACAGTGTCTGTGAGTTAAAATGGCCACCATCTATTGTTCTCACCATGTGCTTCATCCATTGTTCTTACCATGTGCCTCTGATACAGGAAATGGTGGCCACCCACTAACTCCACAGTATGTCTCCAGATGGTTCTTAAAGGGCCAGCAGCAGCACAACACAAATCCATTATGCCCAAATCATGTCTTTAAAGGGCAATACATCCCAGGGGCCATAGTTACATGGCAGGAGGCTGGCAATCAGTCTTCTCCAATGCCCAGTGGCGAGGTCGGTTTCGCCACAGAGGCGGATGCAAATTATAAACAAGCAGCAAAACAGTGAGTTATATGCAGTTTTCATACAATGGAAGAAACACAAAATAACTGTCAGTCTCCCTCGGTCTGGTGCTCCATGCAAGATCTCACCTCGTGGAGTTTCAATGATCATGAGAATGGTGAGGAATCAGCCCCAAACTACACGGAAGGATCTTGTTAATGATCTCAAGGCAGCTGGGACCATAGTTACCAAGAAAACAATTGGTAACACAATACGCAGCGAAGGACTGAAATTCTGTAGCGTCCGCAAGGTCCCCTTGCTCAAGAAAGCACATGTACAGGCCCGTCTAAAGTTTGCCAATAAACGTCTGAATGATTCAGAGGAGGACTGGGTGAAAGTGTTGTGGTCAGATGAGACCAAAATCGAGCTCTTTGGCATCAACTCAACTCGCCGTGTTTGGAGGAGGAGGAATGCTGCCTATAACCCCAAAAATATCATCCCCACTGTCAAACATGGAGTTTGAAACATTATGCTTTGGGGGTGTTTTTCTGCTAAGGGGACAGGACAACTGCACCACATCAAAGAGACGATGGACGGGGCTATGTAGAAAATCTGTGGAGGGAGCCCAAGAACACAACCCCCACAGTCAAACATGAAGATGGAAACATTGTGCTTTACGTGGGGGGTTTCTGCTAAGGGGACAGGACAATTGCACCACGTCAAAGGGACGATGGACGGGGCCATGTACCGTCAAATCTTGGGTGAGAACCTCCTTCCCTCAGCCAGGGCATGGAAAATGGGTTGTGGATGGGTATTCCAGCATGACAATGACCCAAAACACACAGCAAAGGCCACAAAGGAGTGGTTTAAGAAGATGCACATCAAGGTCCTGGAGTGGACTAGCCAGTCGCCAGACCTTAATCCTATAGAAAATCTGTGGAGGGAGCTGAAGGTTCGAGTTGCCAAACGTCAGCCTCAAAACCTTAATGACTTGGAGAGGATCTGCAAAATCCCCCCTGAGATGTGTGCAAATCTGGTGGCCAACTACAAGAAAAGTCTGACCTACGTGATTGAAATACAAGATACACCTAAAATAAAAACAGACGAAGAAACATTCATAGGGCAACACCATATGACAAAATGGGCCCCTACTGGTAATAAAGAACTCACAGGATATACACATTTTTCAAGCCCATCAGCGTCTCTTTAAATATTCTGTTGTAGACATTCTCAATATCCAAGGGTGCATGCCAAAAGAAAAAAACTGGATATAGTACAGCAATGCTTCAAAATGTAAAATGACACACTTTAATTAAATCCACTTCCAAGAAGTAAGAAGTAAAAACGCCCATCAATAGATCTCTATATCCCTCTGTCCCAGATGGTGTAAAAATTAGATTAAAAAACAGGAATCACAGGCAACAATAAAAAACAGCTCAACGCGTTTCGTCTACTTACAATGTAGACTTCCTCAGGAGCAAACAAATCATAAAATCAAATATAACAATAAGTCGAATGCTACAATGTATTCAATGTCCAAGGTTCCTTTTAAATGTTCCTCTCGTCGTGTTCCAGATCTGTTCCGCCAATCCGTGTGGCTGGAGTCACCTGTCCTCGATCTTTCACTTAGTCTCTGTCCATATATGGACTTCCGCCGGATTTTCGTGGAGCGCATATGCATTCCACCGGTCTGGGAGGCCGTCTGCCCAGGAGGACGTCATCAGTCTGCGGTTGGAACGCAAATGCGCTCCACTACATTAGCTCCATCGGTCGGCATAGAATAAATGATCGGAAACATAAAGAACATTATCGGAACAACTTCATACACTTCCCCCAAATAAATCCACTTATCCCAAATAAGGAAAATCAATAAAAATCAAATGAAAGTAATAGTAATTGTATGCTCTATTCAAAGGATCGTGTTAAAAAAGAGCAATATGTGTAAAAAGACAATTATTCTCCATTAACACCTCTGATCAAAGGGAAGGGTTCTGGAAACCACAAACTGTAAAATACTAAGCATAAAAAATAAATAAAATACTGAATAAAATACTGAACAAAGAATATAAACATAGTATGCTATAAAGATGAAATAAAAATGTAAATGAGTTAAAATATAAATGTAAATAAAATAAATATAAAAATCAATATAAATCAATATAAAAATCAAAGAAAACAAATTAAATTAAAATCCACATTCAACCTAAATGGCTTTCAGTTTGTGGATCCAGAATCCCTCCCTTTGTCTAAGTTTCATAACAATATCTCCTCCCCTTGCACCAAGTGATACTTGTTCAATCACAACCCACGAAAAATTATGAATATTGAAATGTGAACACCGGTTACAATAGACCGGGACAGAATGGTTTTGTATCCCTTTCTTAATGTTATTCTTATGCTCTAAGAAACGGGTTTTTGCTTTTCTCACCGTCCTCCCAACATATGGATTTGGAACGTCTCTTTAGTAGTAAAACTGGAAAAGGAATATGTGTGGGACGACTGCCCCCTACATGCTTTGCATATTCCACAAATGTGGAATCCCTTGGAATTTACAGACTTAACTTGGGTCTTTCTCTAAAAGACTTGGTGCGAGAAATGTGGAGAGATTCCTCCATTTTTTATAAATTATTTTAGTATGTTCTGGAAGTTGGGGACCTATATATTCATCATGTTTGAGTATATTCCAATGTTTTCTAAATATTTTATTTATAGCAAGAGTTTTAGAGTTGTATTGAGTATTAAATGAAAATTCAAATGATTTATCTGAGTTAGTAGTAGGTCTAACTTTATCTACCAAAAGGTCTCCCGTTTTAATATCTCCAATTCTTTTAACCTCAATATCTAGTAATTCTCTTTTATATCCCTTCTCCACACATTTTTTGGTTAAAATTTCGGCTTGTTCTATATAAGTGTTTATATTAGAACAATTACGTCTGAGTCTGGTGTACTGACTTCTGGGAACTCCTGCTAACCATCTAGGATGGTGTCCACTTTTTGATTCGATGAAACTATTAGTGTCAGTGGGTTTAAAATATGTTTTAGTAAAAGTTTTGGAGTCTTGGATAAAGATTGTCAGGTCTAAAAAGTCTATGGAGGTAGAAGTAAAAACTGGAGTAAAAATTAAGGAGAGGGTGTTATCTTTAAGATACTGGAAGAAGTCTAATAATTGTTCTTCAGACCCCTTCCATATAACAAGGATGTCGTCAGTATAACGAAGCCAGAGCACCAGGTTTGCCCCATATGGATTGTTTTCCCAAATGGACTTGCGTTCCCAAAAATCCATAAAGATGTTAGCATAACTCGGGGCAAACCTGGTGCCCATGACGGTTCCCTTGATCTGTAGGAAGTACTCATCATTGAACATGAAGAAATTGTGGGTGAGTATAAATTCAATCGCTTCAAGTAGGAACCCTGCAAATTTTTTGTTTAAAGATTTGTCTTTGTCCAAATTGTCTTTAACAGCTTGTATGCCCAGTTGGTGGTCAATCACCATATACAGGGATCCTACATCTAGAGATGCCCACATATAATCCTCATGCCATTCTATGAAGTCCAACTCCTGTAGAAGATGTTTGGTATATTTTAAGTAAGATTGGGCGTATTTCTGCAAGGAGTGATCAATAAACTGGGATAAACTGGAGGTCAGTGAGTTGATTCCGCCTATGATCCTTCTGCCTGGTGGATTCACTTTGCAGTTATGCACTTTGGGCAGAAAATAAACTTTGGAATCCTGAGATTCTCCTGATAGAGAAACTGGTAAATCCCAGTATCTATAACCTTCTTGGAAGTCTAATGTACGTGTTGATATCCCCTAGTAATCTATATGACTCTTCAAGATAAAATTCTGCAGTCATCACGACAATCCCTCCCCCCCCACCCCCCCCTTTGTCGGCATTTTTAATAACAATATCATCCCTTTTCCTTAAAAGAACACTATAGTCACCTAAATTACTTTAGCTAAATAAAGCAGTTTTAGTGTATAAATCATTCCCCTGCAATTTCACTGCTCAATTCACTGTCATTTAGGAGTTAAATCACTTTGTTTCTGTTTATGCAGCCCTAGCCACACCTCCCCTGGCTATGATTGACAGAGCCTGCATGAAAAAAACTGGTTTCACTTTCAAACAGATGTAATTTACCTTAAATAATTGTATCTCAATCTCTAAATTGAACTTTAATCACATACAGGAGGCTCTTGCAGGGTCTAGCAAGCTATTAACATAGCAGGGGATAAGAAAATCTTAATTAAACAGAACTTGCAATAAAGAAAGCCTAAATAGGGCTCTATTTACAGGAAGTGTTTATGGAAGGCTGTGCAAGTCACATTCAGGGAGGTGTGACTAGGGTTCATAAACAAAGGGATTTAACTCCTAAATGGCAGAGGATTGAGCAGTGGGGCTGCAGGGGCATGTTCTATACGCCAAAACTGCTTCATTAAGCTAAAGTTATTCAGGTGACTATAGTGTCCCTTTAATGTATTAAGAGTCTGCATCTCTTGTTTAAACATGTTATTACAGTATTCCTTTTTGTTAGTTACATTTTCAAGGTCTGACATAACCATCCTATTGAAGGTCTCTATTTGTCCTCCTTTATCATAGGGGCAGAAGGTAGAACAAGGTTTAAATTGTTTAAACGGATCCAGATCAAACATGGAATTACGATCCTTTCCTAAAGGTTCTTCCAATAGTTTTTTAGTGAAGAACCTTTTAAGACTTAACTTTCTAATAAATTTCTGCATATCGATATAGATCAGGAAGGAGTCTGGAGGGACATTGGGGGTATATTTTAAACACTTCTGTAGAATAAGGCATTCTTGCCTAGTAAGATACGCATTGGATATATTAAAAATCCCCATTGATTTCTCTTCCTTACACAAATCTAATGAATGCTCCTCTAAAAAATCTCTACTAGTGTGTGCATGAGGAGATGGAGATCTATCGGTCCTAACCAAATTGTATGGCAAAGATTTTCTTTTGGGTGGACCATTGTGAATGGAACTATTTCTTTCCGTTGATCTTGGAGATTGGGATCTAAATTGCTCATTGTTCCTTCTAGGAGGAAAAGAGCTGTGGTTATAGTTATAATTATAATTAGATCTTCTCTGTTTATAATCAACAAAGTTTGATTGAATGCTTTTGTGGACCCTATCACATGCGATTTTTTCTTTCTCTGTATAATCTAAACAATTTTTATCAAATTTATTATTATTCTCCAGACTTTCTAATTCCTGTGTCACATTTTTCAAATTTTCTTTTTCGAAATCCACAATAATCTCCATTAAAGTTGTTGCACGTTTCTAGAGCTGAATCCCATCTATCTGCGTAGCGGGAATTTCCTAATCCGTTAGCCGGATTTTTTGACAATCTTAAACCTCTTGGAATGAGGCCCTCTTTTATATAACTCTCTAAAAATGAGATTTCCCACCACTTTTTGGTTTCTTTTATAGATAACTTTTCGGGTTTTTTGAAAAATTCATCAATTTCAAAATTGTGGTCATGGGAAATGTCATTATTTTCAGTGAAGAGTGATTGAAATTTAACCACCCTTCTTTGTTTAAGCTCTGAAAACATGATGGATAGTAAATCTGGTCTAAAAATTGAGGAAAAAATGTATTAATATATACCTATAGACCACTCAAGTGCAGCAATATATAATAAAATAAAGGTAATTGCTTCCTTTATATCTTAGGTCGTAATAAAGGATTCCTCAAATACAAATATGAAATACAAGATACACCTAAAATAAAAACAGAGACGAAGAAACAAATAAATAAAATACTGAATAAAATACTGAACAAAGAATATAAACATAGTATGCTATAAAGATGAAATAAAATACAAATATGAAATACAAGATACACCTAAAATAAAAACAGAGACGAAGAAACAAATAAATAAAATACTGAACAAAGAATATAAACATAGTATGCTATAAAGATGAATTTTACATTTACATTTTTATTTCATCTTTATAGCATACTATGTTTATATTCTTTGTTCAGTATTTTATTCAGTATATATTTTTTTTTTTTTATGCTTAGTATTTTACAGTTTCTGGTTTCCAGAACCCTTCCCTTTGATCAGAGGTGTTAATGGAGAATAATTGTCTTTTTACATATATTGCTCTTTTTTAACACGATCCTTTGAATAGAGCATACAATTACTATTACTTTCATTTGATTTTTATTGATTTTTTGTATTTGGGATAAGTGGATTTATTTGGGGGAAGTATATGAAGTTGTTCCGATAATGTTCTTTATGTTTCCGATCATTTATTCTATGCTGACCGACGGAGCCGATGAAGTGGAGCGCATTTGCGTTCCAACCGCAGACTGATGACGTCCTCCTGGGCAGACGGCCTCCCAGACCGGTGGAACGCATATGCGTTCCACGAAGATCCGGCGGAAGTCCATATATGGACAGAGACTAAGTGAAAGATCGAGGAGAGGTGACTCCAGCCACACGGATTGGCGGAACAGATCTGGAACACGACGAGAGGGACATTTAAAAGGAACATTGGACATTGAATACATTGTAGCATTCGACTTATTGTTATATTTTAATTTTATGATTTGTTTGCTCCTGAGGAAGTCTACATTGTAAGTAGATGAAACGCGTTGAGCTGTTTTGTATTGTTGCCTGTGATTCCTGTTTTTTAACCTCATCTTTACACCATCTGGGACAGAGGGATACAGAGATCTATTGATGGGCGTTTTTACTTCTTACTTCTTGTAAGTGGATTTAATTAAAGTGTGTCATTTTACATTTTGAAGCATTGCTGTACTATGTCCAGTTTTTTTCTTTTGGCATGCACCCTTGGATAGTGAGAATGTCTACAACAGAATATTTAAAGAGACACTGATGGGCTTGAAAAATGTGTATATCCTGTGAGTGCATTATTACCACTAGGGGCCCATTTTGTCATATGGTGTTGCCCTATGAATGTTTCTTCGTCTCTGTTTTTATTTTAGATGCATCTTGTATTTCATATTTGTATTTGAGGATTTGAGGAATCCTTTGTTATGACCTAAGATATAATCAAAGTAATTACCTTTATTTTATTATCTATTGCTGCACTTGGGTGGTCTATAGATATATATTAATTCGTTTTGACCTATGTGATTGCCAACAAGGGTTTTGCCGCAAAGTACTAAGTCGAAGGGTTCAAATACTTATTTCACTCATTGACATGCAAATCAATTTCTAACTTTTTTGACATGCATTTTTCTGGATTTTTGTTTTTTTTGTTTTGTTATTCTGTCTCTCACTGTTAAAATACACCTACCATTAAAATTATAGACTAATAATTACTTTGTCAGTGGGCAAACGTTTAAAATTAGCAGGGGATCAAATACTTTTTCACCACTGTATTTTACTTTTGGTTTTCCCTTTAATGCACTTTCCCATTTGAGCACTTTTGTGGTGCTCCATTCATACATATGCAAATTGTATAAAAACACTCAAAGCTTAGCTGGTTAATTGTGTACATTTTTATTAAGATTTTTAAAATATGTTTTTACATACAGTTTCAACTTTTATTTATATTTAGAATTTTACAATATGGCTTGTTCATTAAAACATAAATATTGCAAACACATCGGCATAACATTTTTATAAAACTGGTTATTAAGAAGAAGGAACACCTCCCACCCTCATAACAACTTAACTAATTCAAATTGTTATGGGGTGAGAGCGTCCGGATGCCTTATACAAAGGTTACAGTCTAACCCTGAATTTGGGGACTGGCAACAGGCACGTATGCCTCCCGTTCTGCTCTGCATTGGAGTAGGAGGACGGGTTAGCCACATAGCCAGTGAAAGAATAAAAGCATCAAATTATGCTCATATCCTACCAATGGGTGTCCATTGAGGTAAATGATACTATTTGTTAGTGGGCGTCCAGTGATATGTTTAGAGAGTCACCATCTGTTCTCATGTTATCACTGGCCATCTTGCTAACCATTCCTCAAACTAGACTACAGAACGGAGCGAAAGCAGGGGAAAGAAGTGCTGGTCGCCATAGTCCTACTTTGTGGTTAATCAATTGCCACCACAAAGGTAAAAAGGATCCCGGACATTCCTGCCCCCACAGCAATTAAACAACCTTAAGTCGTTATTTGGATTACAATGTTTCTTTAAATGGAACTTACAGTTCTAAAATTAACACTCAGCACATGTAAACACAAACTCAGAATTAAGAGGCTACTCTAAGTATCAAAACTACTATAGCCTGCTGTAGTGGTTATGATGCCAGTAGTACCCTTGGCCCTGTTCCCAGGTAATGTGGCAAACCATTAAGCAACAATTTGCCTCTTACATATGTCCCCGCCAGGCTCAGAGGCTCCTTTTAGAGCTGGTGATGCATTTCCAGCTTCTGCAGAGCTGTTTATATGGGAAGCTGATCCAGTCGCCATTCAATGGCTGAGAGCGAATGGAAATCTGCACAGAACTGACTTTAGCCAAGCTGGAACTCTTCCAGGTTGGCTAATGACGCCCCCATGATGCTGACAGAGTTGTAACTACACCTCTGGCAACACAGGTTTTAAACTCCAAATGTGCAGCATTTTATACCGAAACGCTGCATATACAGACTCCAGGCACCATGACCACTTCACTAAAATGGTCACAATGCTTGGAGTAACCCTTTAAAAAAAATTTTTATAATCTAATTCAAATATCATGAATGTGGAAACTGGAAAACTCATGTGAAGGTTATGTCTCTGGCTACTAGGTTGGGGAGTAACATGGTAAAACTGGCATAACCCATTTCACCCACCAGGTTCACAAAAGTTTTAGATATATCAACGTATTTTTCCTGTGCCTCTCTTTGTGGAAGTCTACAGGACATCACATGCCTCAGGGATATAAAAAATGTTTAAGCTTTCTATTTATTCCTAGAAGCAACATTTTTGACTTGCTTTAAAATTATGTGAAAACCTTTTTTTCACTGTTTACTCTTTTTTTGTATTGCAAATTGTTTATCTTACTGCAGTGAATAATTTACATTTTAATTGTATATTTATTTAAATCTTAATTATTGTGAAATATTATAGAGTTAGTTACCGTTGCACAGATTTATAGTCTGTGGAAACGTCATTATAGTATTATATTTGTTGACAAAAAGATTGCATAGAGGGGGGCAGAGTCTGCATCCCTAGCTGACAAGACATGTCTGTACAGGTTCTGGCTATTCGCGCTTTCTTACCGGTAATATAAAGATGAGAAAATCCTGCCGAGGAGCTCACTGGTCAGGAGACACCTCAACGTATCTAGAGAGCCCTTACTCAAAACCTTTGGCTACCGGGAACTGCTGAAGCAGGTTGCAACCTGCAAAAGCCTGAGCTGTGGGAAGGTGGCCGTCTTCCTCACTGTCTTGCGAGCTGTACAGCACTACAACTCTTCATACCCCTTTCTCAATCTCCCTTCCCCCCGGTGGGTGATATCCAGGTCCCCACTGGAGTGTCACATTTATCACGGCCACAGGAATGGAAGGGCCTGCAACACTTACTTTCTGCCACGTGTGTCCTAAGATGGCCACCGAAGGTAGACATCATGTAAGGCCTGACCCTCCTGTACCAATGGGCGTAATCACTCCTCCAACAAGCTTGACCTCAGCAAATATGGAGTAGTTTATACATGCCCACCCTATTCCAGCATTCCTGGAGACTATCTTTGAACATTTGTGGACTCGCTTGGAACACCTCCTGGCAGTAGCATGCACCCCACCTCCAAAGGGAGGCCAGAGCTGTGTGGACGCGAACACAGAGGTACCTCCTCCATGCAACGCATCAGATCTCCGGATCTCCTTTGGAGTATGTTTTTCTGTAATTTATTATTCATTCTAAATGCATAACACTAATGACTCCACTGTTACCTGTAATGTCTGAATAACTTGACTCAAGAAAAGAATGACTGACAAAAAAAAGCATAGATCAATATGCAATCTTTTTGTTGACAAATATAATATTGTAATGAAGTTACCACACGTTATAAAGTTGCAATTATTTAGCTTCTAATAATGTACTTATTTTTACTAAAAACTTACTTAGAATTTTTTTAATGAATAGATAAAGAAAATTATAACAGACCATGTTGTGGACTTTGGTTAGCTTCAGAAAACAAACCAACAAATCACTGAATCTCACATCTACGGATCCCTTTTGAATCCCTTCTTTAGTTAATCTGAAAGATTAACTAAAGAGTCCTAGATTATATCTTTGGTTTACCAATACATCTATGCCATGTAAAGGGATTCTAACAATGGATTTTAAGGTTGGGGTATAATACAAATGAATTAGAGAGATTAAATTGCATACAGTTTGTCAGACATTCATCAAAAAGGAAGAGATTAGTATCTCTCCCCTGAGTCCATAACACTGATTTTTCATATTAAATAAATCCAGGATAGCCCAACTGACAGGAAGTGTGTTACATAAACACATGGTGTTTAACTTTGATCTATTATTGAACTAGGATGGGATAGTCCCATCAAATGTGATTTAGTGTGCTAGTTCTTCCCTGGCATCTCCAGCAATAACCTGGTCGATGAACAAAGAATAGTGTGATTCTCTAGTTAATATATGAACCTTTCAAATCTTGTACATTGGTTTATGGGAGAACAATTTACACAATATAGTAATGTTTATTCATGTCTTTATAATATGAAAGCTAACAAAATATATTTTCCAACATTTCAAAATTATTGAAGGACTTTACCAAGATCATAAGCTGAATTTTAAAGTTCAAATTACTGCTGCATTATTAGTCATATACTGCATTAACGATCATTGAATTTAATATAATATTTGCTGATTGTTGAGGAGTTTAGCTGAAAATGGGATTTGTTTTACTTTAGGTTAAATGCTGTCACCAAATTATTATTATTTTTTTAAATTGCAATTTTTGGGACCAGCTTACCTAACAGATATTTGACCTTTTAATGGTCAGATAAATATGTTGACATTTTCAAGCATTTGAAAGTGGCCCTCTGCATAGGTGACAATGCAGTTCCCAATGAACTTAGTAGGAAGTTCCACTCTTGCACAAGAACTCCCTGGACTAGAATGCAATGTCCTCAAAGAATATCATTGGTACATAACAGGACAAGATAATTTCCTGCTATAATAATTATTGCATGTCAGTAACACAGTCCACTATACAACAGAGCAATATTACTACCTAACTGGTTTAAGAAACCTTTCCTTTATAATTTAAAACAGATGATATAACACATCATTCACTGACATCAAAATTGGTTACTATGAAAGTGTGAAGAGAACTTTTTTTTTTTTTGAATTTAAATATATAGAACATATTTCCATCGAACTCTTTCACTCTAGTGAAAGCAGTGACATATAGTCTTTATAAATTAATAACACATTTTGACAGCACTCAGACTACTGTAGAGTAAAAATACCCCACTTCTCTTGAAACAGGTAACTTTACCCTTTACTGGTTAGACATTTAACAATTATGCCAATGCTTAGTGCAAGCACAGCTGCCAACACAGCCAGCCCACGCCAAAGAATTAGCTGTTTCACAGAGAGCAATTCCCCTACAACATTTGTAGTATCAATCGTTGAATCTTTTTGTTCCATTTGCTGGTCAGTTTGTTTGTCATCAGAAGAAGAAATGATTTTTTCTGGACTTCCATTATCTTCTAGAGAATTCCCAATGTCAGTGTTTGGCAAGGGTCCTGTAGTTAGAGACGATTTATAATAAAACATGAAATGACAGTGTTAAAATATACCACTTATTTGACATACACTGTAAAATACATCTTGCGCTAACATTAACTGATAGTGCACACAAATATACATATGCATTCATACTGGCAATATATACAAAAAAGGCATGAACATTCACAATGGTATGACACATTGACAAATGCATTTAGAAACATTGCCACACTAAATAAATACACACCATTAAAGTTATAGGTAATAATTACTTAATGCATAAACAGTATACTGTACTTCAAATGGGACAAAGACTAATTTTGTAATGAGGTGCACAAGTCTAACCCTGGCTATAGGAGCTAAAGCACCAGATATAAGGTGGTCTTAAATTAAATATAGGGTGAGCCAGATTTTCAAGGCCAGGATCAAGGCAGCCATAATGTGTTCTTAATGTATTTATAGTTGGGTAGCATGTTGAAATCCCCATCACATACAAGGGAGCTTCTTGTTATACCACCCAACTAGTGTAGCATCAATACATTTCTGCTAATTTCATCAATTTCCAATTCCTTGTGTAACCGATACTATATACTTCCAAAAGGAGGAAGTGGGTTTCACACACAAAAGAAAAGGGAGGAAAGCAGTGAATGGTCTCTAATGAGGGAGATCGGTGAAGTACCAGTTAATGTAATATACCTAATTTACCATGATGTTCAATATTATCTAATAAATGTCTGAGCATCATAGGAAACACATTCCATAACAGTGATTGCCCTTGTCAGTGGGCAATCACTGCTACTTATTTAGAATTTCAATTAGAAAGCACAGACAGACATTAGGCTTCCTAAGCATCATAAGGAATGTAGCTGTCATGCTAACAGTCAGCAATCAATGACAGATGTTGTGAACTTCAATGTCTATGAAGCGCAGCCAGATTAATAGGAAAAGGCATATTGCCACGCAATTATGTGCATCAACGTTTACTTTTTTATATACACAATGGAATGCTATAAGCACCATAAACTCTGAGCTATCACCTACTAATGTATTTTATATGTTGTTCGCTACTCTTATTTAGCTTTCTAAAGTATGAATTGATGTGGTGTCTTTTTTGTGTGCTTGCTATGTTCAGCATGGAATGGCATTTAAAATGTACCCTGTTCTGTGTGTTTTTTAAAAATGAGTTTTCATAAAATACAAAAGGAAAAGTAGGAAATGGATTTCTTTATTTATTTCAGTTGATAAAATCTGACAATGAGTGGTACTCAAGCAAAGTTGTTTCAGTTGCTAAACAAATTTGCACACAATCCATCAATAAAATCAACCCTAGAGAAGGCCAAACAGCAGACACCCAGGGACAGGGGAGAACATGGTTATTAAGATCCAGCATAAGAAAGAAAATATAATTGAAGGCAAATGGTAAAGGGGGATTTATACTTATTAAGATACAAGTATTAAAAGGAAAGGAAAATCAAAATAAAAAAAGGCCTCTTTACTGGGTTAGGAGGCATCACTGGATAAAACGGGCACATCAAAATGAGTTAGGCCTCAGGAAATTGCCATCAATAAATAGTTCACTGTAGAATCATTGTCTTCCCAAGTGCAATGTAGGCTCCACAGACAATCTACTGAACGTGGCTTGTGAAAATAGTAAAACATACATTACACTACTAGTATTAGATTTGATATAGCTTATTTTTTTTATTAGATTACTTAATTGAACTAATTGTACATTAAACCAATGGGTCACCAACTACTTCTACATACATTATTCTGGTCCTGGTCAAAACAGATTGAGAACGAGTGGAGTAGAATAAAATATAAGGTATTTAACATGTAATAGGTTTAATAATACAGAATCAATAAACAGTGTTGAAATATCCATACAGACATAATAAATGTACTTACCATTTTCTAACATGCCAAAACTATTGCTGCCTTCATTTTTCCATGCAATGTTTGGGTCAGAGTCTTTTTTATCTATTGTCAGTCCAGCTCGAATCTGAGCCTGGTTTAAAAATAAAATACACTTTAGTTTAATCAATGGAACTCAGTTGATTATATAGATGTAGAAGGGATTGTATGTATTTATGCTTTCATTGTATGAATATGTGCAATACACCTAAATTCTTAGTACACAGATGACATACTACTATACAACAGTTTTAGGTTTGTGTGAAAAAAAATGCTGTAAAGTAGGAAAGCTTTCAAAAACAGAAATTGTATTTTTTTTTTTAATCAATTAACAAAATGCAAAGTGAGAGAAGAAAAATCAAAATCAAATCAATACTTGGCGTGACCACCCTTTGCCTAATTATTCATACACTTTCACACAGTTTTGTAAAGAATTCGATAGGTAGTTTCTTCCAAACATCTTGGAGAACTAACCACAGCTTGTCTGTCCATTCAGCCTCAGTAAAATATTTCTCTTCAGGTAATCCCAGACAGACACAATCATGTTGATCAAACCATCATACCATCACTTCCGAAATTCATTCTTTTTTACAATGAAAATTGTTCTTAATGGTTTTGGCTGCATATTTAGGGTCATTGTCATGTTGCAGAACAAGTGTGGTGACAATCAGGTGCCCTCCTAATGGCATGAAGGATAAGCATCTAATTGTACTTCTCAGAATTGCAACCTAATCTATTTGCTATGAACCTCTACCATGTTAAACTTTTGCCTGGTTACAACCATTCTTATATCACTCTTCTGCTACAGCCATATATTAAAATTTTCAACTAATTAGTCCAGAGCAATTTAGTAGATTTGCCTTAAAAGCGCAAAACAGATAAAGGTTTCCATACCTTTCTTTTATAAACTTGACAGACAACGATTAAGACCCTTTCCCTAATGTAGTGTAGTCAGAAAAGCAATGTTCTTAGAAGCAAAAAGTAATTGGTTGAGTATGATAACATTTCCTTAAATTGTTCCTATAGAGACGTATACTTGAGGCTCCCACCAGACTCCCTCAGGCTGCACACCATGCCAGTAGGAGATTATCAATTACTGCGCCTCAAAAAAGGCAAATTGAGAAGATCACTGATCATTCTGCAACTACACGTTTCCTATTCAGGTCCCATAGAATATCTTTTGGAACCTTTATCCATTGCTTTGACCTGTAATTATTTTAAGTTTGAGCATAACTACTTGCAAACAGCTGGGACTGTGATGGGGCAGTTATGGCACCCTCATACGCAGATGCATTTATGTTTTGGTTTTAACACAAATATATTTTGTCCAGGTACCAAAATAATATTGTGGAGTACCTACGATTTGTGAACAATATTTTCTCATCTGGAAGGGTACATCTGATGAACTGTGTCAAATGGTGAACCAAGTCAATTCAACATCAGTACCTGTCAAGTTAACACCTACATGGAATGACTTCGCTATCCAATTCTTGGATGTTACAGTGCACAAATCAAACAACAAACTTGGATACACAATATATCGGAAGCAAACTGATCAAAAAACACTCCTTTTGGCTTCAAGTTTTCATACACCACACTTTAAGAACTCTCTTCCAATATCTCAATTTATATGTATACTGAGATATAACAGTGAACTGTCAGAAACAAACAACTTCAACAGATGTGGAATAGATTACTCACACATGGATATCATCCGCATGTTAGAAATCTAGTGTTATCTGAGGCTAAATTGAAATCACTCAAACGACTCTCTGGGGGGGATACAGGTCTCTTCATCACTTAAGCCCCAATCCAAAAGAATGTTTTTACCATCTACAAGCATTGGGACAGTCTTCGATCTGACAAAAGCTTACTTTCTATACTTTGTGAGTACCCAATTGAAAGTTATACCAGAAACAAAAACGTACATGAACTGTTACATAGTTACATAGGCTGAAAAGAGACATGTGACCATCAGGTTCAGCCTTCCTCACATCGCATTTGCTGTTGATGCAAAAGAAGGCAAAAAAAAAACAGTTTAAAGCACTTCCAATTTTGCAACAAGCTAGTGAAAAAAATCATTCTTGACCCCAGAATGGCAGTCAGAGTTATCCTTGGATCGAGAAGGTATTACCCTACAGTTGAAAAATGTTATCATTTAATATTATGTTTTTGCAAGTATGCATGTAGTTGCTGTTATTGGTAAAAAAAAACACCTTTCCTTTGTCTTAGACTAAATCTTTTTTTACAGTCTAAATGCATGACCTTGTGTCCTATGTATAGCCCTGATTGTGAATAGATTTCCAGACAATGGTTTGTATTGGCCACATATATATTTGTATAATGCTATCACATCCCCTTTGAGGCACTGTTTTTCTAAACTAAAGAGGTTTAAATTTTCTTATACTTTCTTCATAGCTAAAATCTTTCATTCCTTTTATTAATTTTGTAGCCTGTCTCTGCACTTTTTCCAGTGCCATAATATCCTTCTTTAGAACAGGTGCCAAACACACTGCTATATCGAGGTACAGAGTGATCCAACAGACTGCTATATGAAATCACGTACAATGTTGAAAAAAGGCTGCTTCAAATGCTCCAGTTGCGTTACATGCAGCCACATGAATCGAGGAGCTACATGACGATGATTATATATATATATTGTGTTCTCACATATGTTTGTTTACTATTTACAGTATATTAATTGCTGATACACAGCAGTGTATGCAGGACCCAACATTTGGGCTGTAATACTGTTCCCATATAATTATGTGGAGTACACAATTTCCGTTGCCCAGATCTGTTTATGGTAATTTATTTTCACATTTATCTCTATTCTGATTTTTAGTTTTCTTTATTTTGGGCAAACTTTTTGGAAATGTAAAAATAGGTAATTCAATTTGTTTTCAGTATGTAAAATAACTGTTTATTCCCTAGCTTGATATGTTAACAAGCTTAATTAATTTATACCAATGCATTATATTTGCTTATGTATATTAATGTATATATCCTTTAAGGTTGGTGTGGCATAGATACTTCAGATACCTCACTGCTAGCACTGTTGTCACTCGAAGAAGGGCACTCACTGGTCTTCTTAATTTGCAAACTTTATTCACCAGCAACTGTTCAGCAACTTTACAGTATCATCAACTAGACGTGCACCAGTGAAAATTTTGTTTTGTACGAATGATTTTGTACTAAATAAAAATTTCATTCCTCGATCCCGAATTTCGTCCGCAAACCATTTGTTTTCAAGCGAAATTCATTTAAAAATTATTTGTTTTTGTCCATTTGGACAAAAACAGCACTGTGCATGTGCCAAAAAAAAAAAAGCAAGGAGGGAGCCGGCAGCACTACCAGCTCCCTCCTTCTAATAAATGGCCAATTCTACCCCCCAAGCATTAAAACCTATGGGGGCCACTTTGACCCCCATATTAATAAAAGGGAGGTTAAATCCTCCCGCATGTCCCTACTCGTGATGTGCAGCGAGTAGGTACATGTTGCCTAAACAAATTTAAAACTACTAGTGACTGGGCAGCTATTGCTGCCCAGTCACTAGTGCAATAAGGGGGAACCTGGCACAGGTTACATCCTCCTGCATGCCCCTACCAGCGTTTATTTAAAACGGAATATATAGAAGTGATAGAGAGCTACGGTAAGAGTACGTGTAACCAATAGTTATAGCAAAAACTATAACAAAACTATAACAATGCTGCAATATGAAAAAGTAGCTATTTAGAGCTACTAAAGAGCCACTTTTTACATGTACTCCTCCTCTTTACACATCTATACAAGATACATTTATATCCAGGTTTAAATGACAGCGAGCAGCCAGTCAAAACAAAGCCAAAGTCAAGTACCAGAAAATCAAGATCAGGAACACACTCTCGGATAACCATAGGCATGAAACCACGACAGGGCAATGAGCAAAAGGAGAATTGGGTTTAAATACCCCTCCTGTGGATTTGATTGACTGTAACCAGACTTTGACCCCAAAGGCAATTACCAGGTTTCCATGAGCATGATTGCTGCTCAGCACAAACCCTCCAGTAGATTGGATTGGCCATGACCGGCCTTTGACCCCAAAAGTAATTGCCAGGTTTCCATGTGCATGATTGCTGCTCGGCACAACTTTTCCTGTCAGGACGGTAATGTTGCTTGGCACAACTTTTCCTGTCAGGACAGTAAATGCCATTAACCACATTTTTATGTGTGAATGAACACGTGACACTCGGGGACCAAGTGGCAGGTACCGCTATCAATGTAGTACCTGCCATCACTGTATCAGGAGGGGAGCTGTGAGACATGGCAGGAACCACAGTTCATGCATTGCCTGCCTGTAAATTAGGTGGGGATGCCATATGGCAGGCATTGCTGTTCATGCTGTGCCTGCCTGAATTACCGAAGGAGGGACCGAGGGAATCCTGGTGACCTGCTTTGCAAAGGAGAGAGCTTTTTCTTATACTACGGGTGTAACAAAGGGAACAGCAGTACTAATCTTTAAAGGGACAAAACACGATTTATCACACAGAAACATATTCAATGTGTAAGTTTACACAAAAATACAGAAAATGTTATCATACTTACCGTAATTTTCTTTTCCTGGCTATTATTCATGGCAGCATCACTTATGGGTAGCTCCGCCCCAATCAGGAACAGGACATGAAAAAAGGTTCAATTAATCTGGACCAGACTGGGGTATAAAAGGTCCCTCCTCCTTCCATCCCACAGTCGAGTTCCAAAGCTTAAAACAATTTTAAGGGGGGATTGCTGATGCTGCCATGAATAATAGCCAGGAAAAGAAAATTACGGTAAGTATGATAAAATTTTCTGTATTCCTGGCTAATCATGGCAGCATCACTTATGGGTAATACCCAAGCTCCACCATAGGGAGGGAAAACCCCCCCAAAAACCAAAAAACAAAACACTCTACACCAGATGATGCTGAAATAAGTTTAATTTAGTTAGACTCCACAGAGAATAGAACACCTCTACCAAAGGCCGTAGAGGATGAAGCCAAATCCAGTTTGTAGTGCTTGATGAAAGTGAGAGGTGAAGACCACGTGGCAGCCTTACAGAGGTCGTCAGATGGAACCTCTGCCCAGTTAGCCCATGATGTTGCCAAAGCCCTTGTAGAGTGAGACTTGATCTTACTAGGAGGAGTAAGGTTTTTCAACTGATAAGCCTTGGTTATAGTATTGGAGATCCAACGCCTCAAAGTGGAAGTAGAGGTTGCTTCCCCTCTTCTGGGCCCTGTTGGAAGAACAAACAGATGTTGAGACTTTCCAAAATGTAGAGATACTTTGATGTACTTGAGTAGGCACTGTCTGACGTCCAATTGATGAAGTTTCACTTCCGATGGAGAAGAATGAGACGGATGAAAAGATGGAATAACAATTTCCTGGAGGATGTGGAAATTCGAGACCACTTTTGGCAGAAACTCTTGTCTAGGTCTCAAGACCACCCTGTCGTGGAACACATGAAAATGGTTCTCATCACAGGAGAATGCATGAATTTCTGACATGCGTTTTGCCGTAGTTATAGCCACCAGAAACAAGGTCTTATAGGTTAGTAAGACAATACCCAGCTCATCTAATGGAGGAAAGGGGTTTTCTGACAAAACCTCCAGTACCATCGGCAAATTCCAAGGGGGAGAATAATTCCTGATCGGAGGTCTTATACGGATGGTTGCTTTAAAAAATCTGGCAATTAGAGTATCTGATGTCCATGACCTGTTGCAGAGGGTGGATAAAGCCGATGATTGGACTCTCAGAGTACTTAGACTCAGCCTTTTCTCCAGACCTGCATGAAGAAAATTTAAAATGTTGATGTTAGAGGGCTGAAGAAAATCGACATTATTATCTTGAGACAAAGAATGAAAAACCTCCCAGATCTTATGGTAGCAAGTTGAAGTAAAGCCTTTGTGGATTTAAGGAGAGTATTAACAACAGACTCTGAGATACCTTGAGCTTGTAGTCTCTCCTTTTCAAGAGCCATGCCCCCAATTTCAGCTGGCTGGGGTTGGGATGAACAGCCAGTCCCTGAGTCAATAGGTCTGATCTGCGAGGAAGAGGCCAAGGAGGCTCCAAGCTCATCTTGTTGAGAAGAGGAAACCAAGGCCTGTGAGGCCAAATTGGGTTGACGGCAATCACCTTAAGACCTTCTTTCAATATCTTTCTCAGCAGTCTGTAAATCATTGGTAGGGGAGGGAACGGGTACCCCAGATCGAATTTCCACATAAGAGACAGGGCATCCTGTCCTGCTGCTCGATGATTTGCATGTAGAGTGTAAAACATTTTGACCTGCGTATTCTTGTATGAGGTCATTAGATCGATCTGAGGTACTCCCCACCATAGGGTAATTAACTGAAAACATTCTGGGTGCAACTTCCATTCTCCTTGGAGAATCCTTGTTCTGCTGAGATAGTCTGCCAATACATTTTCTGGCCCCGTCAGGTAAACTGCTTTCAAGCCTTGAAAAATGGAGTTGCGCAAACTTCATTATAGGAGTCAGCTCCATCAGAAGGGAATTGCTTCGGGTGCCTCCCTGGTGATTTATATAAGAAGCAGCCACTCTGTTGTCTGTCTGTACTTTCACCCAAGCATTCCTCAACAAAGGACGGAAACCCTTTAGTGCCCTGAGAACCGCTCTCAGTTCTTTCAAATTCGAATGAAGCTTTGTCTCCTTCCGTGACCATGTACTTTGAATCCATGAGTTGTTCAAGTGTGCACCCCATCCCAGAAGGCTGGTATATGTTGTTATAGTTATCCAGGCCGGTTCTTCCAGGGGGAAACCTCGAAATAGGTTTTCTTCTTTTGTCCACCAATACAGATCTGTTGAGATACTCGGGAGAAGATGAATCCTCTGATCCTAATTGCCTGTCTTTGCCTTGAACTGTATGATAAACTGCCTCTGAATAGGTAGCATCCTCCACTGTGCCCATTTTACTAGGTTTATGGAAGTAATCCCAATAGGCTCATGAATTCTCTTGCTGAAATGTAGGATTTCTGATGCAGGCTTCTGATTTTCTTCACAATTCGTTTTTTTCTCTCTGTAGACAGGGATACCAGGCCATTTACTGAGTTTATATTTGCTCCCAGGAATATCATCCTCTGGGAAGGCGCCAACAAACTCTTTTTGGGATTTATCAACCAACCATGTTCTTGAAGGTATTTGATGGTAATTCTTGTGCGGTGATTCACTATTTGACTGGACGGGCCTATGATCAGAAAATCGTCCAGATAGTGATAAAACTCGATGTTCTTTGTCCTTATAAAGGCCACAAGGGAAATGAGAATCTTTGAGAACATTCTCGGAGCCAAACTTAAGCCGAAGGGAAGTCCCTTGAACTGTTAATGATTCCCTGAAATCTAGAACCTCAGGAACCGGCGATGACTGTAGTGAATAGGTATTTGATAGTAGGCGTCTTTGAGATCGATAGATGTCATCCAGTCTCCGGGCTTTATATTTGGAAGGAGTATAGTAATAGACTCCATCTTGAACGTTCTTGGTTTCAATTTTGTATTCAAGCCTTTTAGATCCAAAATTAGACGCCATTTTCCCTGGGGCTTTGGAGCCAGAAATATAGTAGAATAGTGGCTGCTGTAACGCTCTTTGTAAGGAACTTTCTCTATTACCTGGTTCTGCAGCAGTTGGGAAATAATCTTGTTCATTGCGACTTCTTTTCTTCCTTTTGCAACTCTTGAACGAATGAAGGTATTTTGAAAGGGGAATTCGTTGAATTCTATCTTGTATCCTTGCATAAGGATAGAAAGAACACAAGTATCTTGAATACTTTTGGCCCAAACCGGATAAAAGAAGCGAAGTCTGCCTCCTATAACATCTGGCTTGACCGGCAAACATTCAGAAGTTTTTACTTGTCGGTCTAGATCCTCTTCCCCTAACAGGTTTTGATGTAGTTGTCTGATAGCTTCTCCAGTTAGAATTTCTGGAATATTCTCTCCCGGGTCTATATGCTCTGCTATCTCGAAAGGATTAGTCTCTGAATTTTTTATCCTTCCAGTAAGATGCACTAAATCTTCTTTTCCCTTGTGGGAGAAAGGCCTTTTTCCCATCGGCTGCTTTATGAATTGCATCTTCTAGGATCTTACCAAAAAGCAGGTAACCTTGAAATGGGAGAGCACATAGAGAAGCTTTAGAGACGTAATCTGCTCCCCATGAGTGTAGCCATAATGCTCTCCTAGAGGCTACAGGCAGCTATACTTTTTGCAACCATCTTGGTAACATCCAGGGAAGCTTCAGAGCAGAATTCTGTGGCTAGCTTTAAATCTTTAAGGCCCTCCATCAGGTGTTCTCTACGGACTCCTCTAGTAATATCCTCATCTAGATTTTCAATACAGATTTTAAGAGCTCTGGATAAAGTGGTTAGGGCAATAGCTGGATGTAATGCTGATCCCAGAGCCAGGTATGCCTTAATAAGGTTGGCGTCCAATCGCTTTTCCATTGGCTCTTTCAAATATGCCATGGAGTCTATGGGAAGAGTAGTTCTTTTTGCCATATGGATGACTGCAGCGTCAATCTTAGGAATAGAAATCCATGATTTGTAGTCCTCATGCGCATAAGGATATAATCAGTGGAGTCTTATTCTTTAAAGTAGCTTTCCTCTCTGGTCTATTCCATTCTTCATGGATGACCTCCTTAATAGCAGAGTGAACCGGAAACGTGGGTCTGTTAGTCTTCAGATCCTCAAAATATCTGTCAGACTCACGCTGTGTGAGGACACACAACGTTCTCACGCTGTGTGAGGACCTCCAGCGTCGCTCAATTCCCCATAGGAAAGCATTGAAAGCATTTTCAATGCTTTCCTATGGAGAGGTCTAATGCGCACGTGTGACATTGCCGCGCATGCGTATTAGGTCTCCCCCTCTGGCAGCCGCACATGCGCGATCGGTCTCCCCCGCCGGGGCAGGAGCGTGGGCGGACCCGAAACCACCGCCGAGGGACATCGGCGGGGGGTGTCAGGTAAGTCACTGAAGGGGTTTTCATGATTATTTTTACTTTTAAATTTTTTAATTCTTGACATACTCAGTTTTGCAGTATAGTTAGTGATCCAGGTTGATAGTTTAGGTGATACACCCCTTTTAGTTGGCTAGTATTCTTAGGATTTAGGGAGATTTGCTTTCTACTTAGAAACTGTATCCACCTTACTAATACTTAGCTAAGCTACATTGTTTCTCTTTACTCCTGGGATCATGCTCACAGTTGCCAATCAGGAGCTGTATCTAATTTCTTCCCACTGATCTAAATTGCTACATTTAGATCTTTGATACTTTTCATATAGTACTGATTTGACTATTTTTTTGCTCTTGTATCCAACTCGTTAACATCAATGCACTGCTAGTCTTTATGGCTGTTAATTATGCACTAGTGTTGTTTTCCCTGTGTAAATGTCTTTGAAAGCTTTATTAGCCAAATACTTATAAAGACAGAGATACAAGTTTTTTTTCTTAATCATTTTTTTTTTTCAAAATTATAGGCTGTGATATTAAGAGGGATTGGAATTCACTACAATTATATACATATATACATACTTTACTTGTGTTTTGTATCCTACTATTACACTAGAATTTCCAACTCTGAGTCTCAGATTTGGAACTTTTTTGTATATACCAACCAATTAGAATTAAGGGTTATGCCCTATAAAGGTCGAATATAGGTGAACACACGTCCAGTATTTCACTCATATAAAGGGACACTTTAGTCACCAAAAAACTTTAGCTTAATAAAACTGTTTTTGTGTACAGATTATGCCCCTTAAATTTCTCTGCTCAATCCTCTGTCATTTAGGTTAAATCACTTTTATTTTTCTTTATCCAAAAGTAGTCACACCTCCCCGGTTGTGACTGACACAGCCTGAATGAAAACAAAATGGTTTCATTTTCAATCAGATGTTACTTACTTTGTAAGTTTGTATTTCCTGCTCTGTAAATTGAACTTTATTTAAATACATGAGGCTCCCGTAGACTAATAACAGAGCAGGAGATGAGAAATTCTAAATTAAACAGAATTTCCAATAAAGGAAGTGTAAACATTAGATAACTCTTTACAGGATGTGTTTAGGAAGGCTGTGTAAGTCACATGCAGGGAGGTGTGACAAGGACTGCATAAAAAAAGTGATTTAACTCCTAATTGGCAAAGAATTGAGCAGTGAGACTGCAGGGGCATGATCTATACACCAAAACTGTATAGTGTCCCTTTAAACTTCACGCAAGCTATGTCTGGTTTTGTACTAATAATTATCCATCTGAAGCCCATTGGTGGGGGTCTGTGTGTGGACAATTAGTATGTACAACTGATAATATAATATGTATAACTTTATGGATCAAGGCCAATGATGTGGCCTGTGACCTCCCTATGCCTGAACCTGCTGCTCACACATTTCACATTTATTAGACTTGCAGAGGGGGGGGAAAGGGCCTGATTGCTAATATGGCGAGACACGTCTTCTGAGAGCTCTAGCCCAAAATTGTGATATTTAAAGTCTGGAATGACAGTGGTTTGCTGCTGAACCGAGTAGGAATCTGTGGATATACCACAGTCTGCTTATGTGGCCTAGCATGGTAGGCAACCTGGAAGCTGGGGGAAGCAGCCAATTTCCCGCCTCAGGGTCTGCTAAAAACGGCATACCCCCCTACTTTGGACAGACAGGGGATATCCTGGTCTCCACTCGGGAAACCCACTTGCATGCAACATACAACCCTAATGCAGAGCCAAAGTCCGCATGCCATTCCTAAAATGGCTGCCACACCACAACCTCCATAGTCTCTGGAGGGTTCAGAGCTCCTGTGCTGGAAGAAGTGCTCAGAGGCTCACTTCAACCAGATCTGCCAGAGGTTCTGGAGGCACATACACCACCCATACCTCACCTATTGAACCAGCAAATAAAGTTGAAACAGGTTTCAACCTTATTATCACATTTTATGATGTTTTTAACTTTTAAATGTAAGTATTGATACTGCTCTTTTCTTTTTTCTATGCCCTTATGACAATACCATGAATTCCCTTATCCAAAATGGCCACCGGTTCACTTCCGGTTTTTCGGCCATGTATTCCAGAACAAAGAATTTATGGCACTCATGGAGAAAGTCTTAGAGAGCCACTATACCCTGGAGGGACTTCTAGGATGTATATATATGATTGTATGGCCATAATGATTTGTATGAACTTTGTGACGGAAGTACACGTCATGCCGGACTGGAAGTGACGTGACGCAAGTAAAGTGGACGGATCCAAACAAGATTTTTGGCGTAAATTTTGGAAATAAAGGAGAAGACCCCTAACAACTATCAACATACACCTGAAGAAGGCTGTTTGCCGAAACGCGTTGTGTTTTTTAAAGAAGTTTTTCCTGTGTACAGCTTGCTGTGTTTCTGTATGTAAGGATGTTTATCTATGTTTATAATAAATGTTTGAATTGTACCTTTAACCCATGTTTATCATTCCATTGTATATGTGAACACTGGGGGAGAACACAGGAGCTGAGGAACATTTCTTTCATCCTACCTATGCCTGTTTACCTGAGCCAGTTTTATTTACAGGCTCATTAACATGGATCTATGTGGATAAAGTCCATTCTAAGTGTATGTATTTTCTGTGTTTATTGCACTTATAGTACACTGTGCACCTGTATTGTGTATTAGTAGAGCGCTGAACCTTCTTTTGTTTTATCCTTGTCTGTATTTGGTGGGATTTAGTGGTAGATTCCACGGTTCATAGCAGCACTACTCGATCACTAGCGCCATTTTTTATCACTTTCCTGTCCTCTGTATACAAGGTTGAAACAGGTGTTCGCCAATCCTGCTCCAGGCTGACGCGTACACCTCATTGCCTGAATATGGTGAAAAACAGAAGGCTGAGGCCCCAACACCTACAATCTTGCAGAAATTCTGCTCAAAAGCCCCAAAACCATGCTCCTTCACAGCGTTCCAGAGGGGTCCAAGTCCGCAAGCTCAATCGGAGGGTTCCCGCTCAGCAAGGCAAGTGGTGTGCAAAGAGACAAGCATGGGATCTGCTCTTGAGGCTGGACGCAGCTGGGTGTACTGAGGCACGAAACAGGAGAGCACCATCGCTTGGAGCCGGAGAGGTACTCCCCAAGTTTAGAGGCCCAATAAAATCATGATGTCCGCTTCTGAGAGAGTCCAAGGAAAGAAGAAAACCCTGCAATGGCTCTGCCAGAACTATAATGTTAACAGACACAGCAAACGCAGGCAGCTGGTGCCCACTTTGCGTATAGGGTGACTGATCTTATGCTATGTTTTCCTCAGCCTGCTTCATGGGCCCTTAGCTGAGGCTTATCTATTGAACAGCAGCATGTTTCCATACTATGGTCCTAGCGGTTTATGTTTTGTTGTTACCTGATGTTTAGCATGTATATTTAAATGTTTTCCTTTCAATTTTAGGCATGTATTATTTTTCCTTATTGCACATTGACAGGCTACTGTATTTTGTAAGCAGCTCCTATGCTCAAACTTATGCTTTTTGGCAAGTTACCTGGTTAGTCTGCTTACTATGTACTGATATACCCTTACTGTCCATCTCATAATGCAAACTGTTGGTCACACTTATTCTGCCTTTCTATATAGGCTCCTGCCTCAGAGACACTTTTCTAGCCTATTCTTGATGCCTTTTCGCATTCATTATAAATAAGTGCAGTGTTTAAAATACATTTTCGAATGCATCTATATTCTGTTACTGTCGTTTATAATCTTGTGAATTGTCTATAGAAGTGTGTATGCAGGGCCATCTATAATATGCATAGGACCCTGGGCCTGCCCCTCCCACCTAACCCTCCCAATTACGCCCAACCCCGAATCACATACTGACACATACTCACGCAGAGAGAAGTATTAAAACATTTGCAGATACATACTGACACACACATATATACTGGCAGACATACTGACACACACATAGACACACATACATACACACACACACAGATACTGACAGATATGCTGACACACACATAAACATACACTGACAGATATACTGACACACACACAGATACATACACTGACAGAAATACTGAAACACACACAGACACATAAACTGACAGACGTATTGACACACACACAGACACACTGACACACACACACAGGCATACTGGCATACACAGAGACTGAGACATACACACAGAGACACATACACTGACAGATATACTGAAACACACAGACACCTACACTGACAGACGTATTGACAGGCACATACTGACACACACAGACAAAAATACTGAAACACACAGACACATACACTGACAGATGTATTGACAGACACATACTGACACACACAGACATACTGACACATACAGACATACTGACAGACACACACACACACATTTTGATATACACACAGACATACTGACACACAAACAGACATACTACTGACACACACACAGACATACTACTGACATTAACACACACAGACATACTGACATACACACACACACACAGACATACTGACATACATTTAGCCACCCTCCAGGCTCTTACCTTTTTTCTGGAGGGTGGTTTCCCTGGGGTCCAATAGCAGGCTGAGGCAGTTGGGAGTTATCCTTTGGAGCTCCTCCCTGCATTCCTACTGCCACACGGCTCTTATCTCCGGTGGGAGGAATTGACGTGAGGCACTCACTTCCTCCCAGCCGGCTGCTGAATATGAAGGGGCCCGGTCGCGCTGTTTAAGCGCCACAGCACCCGACCGGGCCCCTGCTGACAAATGCCCACCAGATGGCCCTTAGTGCATGGGCCACCTGGGGGGCCTCCTTAGTGTGCAGGCTGGTGCGGCTTTGTGCAGACGCACCGCCGGGTCCATGGGGGCTGCACAAATCAAGGGGCCCACGGGGCAGCTGCCCTGGGCCCCCCCAGGAGCAACTGGGCCTGGGGCAGCTGCCCCGTTTGCCCCACGTTAAAGACGGCCGTGTGTGTATGTTATCCTATGCACTGCAACAACAAAAAAAGAATAATAATAAAAAAAAAAGACTTGCAATTGCACCTGGAAAGTGACTTCAGGCATTTTCCTCTGACAAGAGAATTTCTGAAATTTCAGCTCTCTCTTGCGGTCCTCGAGTACCCCATAACAGTCCAGGATTTAGGGATTACTCAGTTGTGTCCACAGTGGTTTTAGAAAAAGATGAAAAAAACACTTTAGACACAAGATAATCCCTAAATCCTGGACTGGTAGGGGGTACTTGAGGACTGGGTTTGGAACCCCTGCTCTATTGGTTTTTCATAAGGATTGAGCAGTTATGAGTACTGATTATTTTTGCCAAAGGAGGGCATCTCCATTAAAATTAACCAGGAGATTGTTGACCTCTTAGTTTGTCTTTCAACTGTAAGGAGAAGAAGTTGTTGTATAATTTAGATGATGTCCATGTCCTTGAGTATTATATTAAGGCCACAAGCCATTTTAAGAAGTGTTCTTCCTTGTTTGTTCATTTTTCTAGAGTTCGTTTGAGTAAAGACTTTGGTTGTCTTTCCAATTCGCTGAGGTCCATGATCAGCAAGGCTGATGCCACACCCAGTGCACCGTTACAACTACCACCCTATGATGTTTGCTCGTGTCTTGCTATGCTTTGATTTAAGATCCCATGTGCCATGGTTAGTGGGTTTTACTATCCAGGAAAAAAAATTTTGCGTCTTACTTAACAAATTCTCCTTCAAGAATGACAGAAAGTGATTTTAATATCAAAGGTGTGAGTTGATGTAATGAAATGCTATGGCTTTGGCTATTGTTATCAGAGACAAACAGTATATTGTTTCCCCTTCTGCTATCAACGTGTATGTACGTAGGTGAGGGATAAACAGCCATGTTTTCACAAGACACTAAATAAAAAATTTGTAGGAATATTTAAATTTACCTCTTCACAGGCCTTGCTCCAATTCATTCGTAAAATGTAAGTCACAAAGAATGTAACTTGCAAAAGGTTTGCCACCATCATTCCACTCCAAAGACCTTAACAAAGACATATTTCAAACATTAAGATTGGATAAAGTGCTACAGTGCACAATATGTAGAAATGAATACTGTCAGGGATACTGTGACATGCTTGTTTGCCATTGAAAAGTATTATGTGAGCATTTTCATGAAACCATTAGAACAGCATGGCAGTAATGTTTTTAAATAAAAAACATGTAATTTAGATATATAACAAAATATCATAATAAAGATAATAGTTTTCTCCACCTTTCACAAAAGAGTACTTTCAACATAACTGTGAATTGTTTTTGTATCTTATTATATTTTCTGATGAAATTCTCATTAGCAAAATGTCCAGCTATGACCGGATGTGTGTTATGTAAAATGAAAATATTCTGAAAAAAAATCAAAGGATGTTCTACTAGATGTTTTGCTATTTTCAAAAGACATTAAAATGATTAACTGAATATGTATGTATAATAATAATAATCAAAAAAGAGAGGGAAAAATAAGGTGTCCATTACTGATCTTCTTCCTCTACAACAATTTTAAAGGACTGTTATCACGTACAGAATGAATGAAACAACAAATCTGCCAGTACCTTCAAGATGGCTACCAGGTAAGGAGATGTCTTTATATTTCTCCAGTTAAGAGTTTAACATTCTCTTGTTGGACTGTGTGCATGACACTATTGATGATCACTTTAGATACGACATACAGGTGGTTTTGTACATTTAAATTTTTTTTTTTTTAAATTATGAAAATATACTTAATTAATGTCTATGTACATTAAATAAAAAAAACTTTTCTGAGTCATCATGGCTTCATCATTGCTAGCAAAACATGTTAAGGATCCTAATTTTCTGTAAACCATTCTCACTTATCACATCAATTTCAGGCCAGTTGCGGTAGAAAGAACTTTTGTTTTGAAAATGAGAATTTAATCACACAGACCATTTTAAATATATATTATGAACTATAAATTTAAATATTATTTACTAACTGCTGATATTTTTGCTTTATAGCCTGTACAACTGCAGACCGTGAGCAAGTAAGAAAAAGAAAGCTTTAGCTAAGGATAGGTTGCAAAAAAAAAAAAAAAAGTTTACAGCAACACAGAACTGATGAAAGAGTACAGAAAAAAAGGAGATTGAGAGGTTGGTAGTTGAAGAGGCTACAGCAAGAGTAATTAGCAAATTTATAGGAAGACTAACATCCTACAGTGCTTGGAAATCTACGCTAGCATGCACACATCCTCAGACATAGTATGTAAGCCATTCAGTCCCTACTATAGAATGAACACACACAGTCAGTAAGCCATTCAGTCTCAACTATATTTCATTTAATGCTTTCTTTCCATATCATGCTTCCTTTCCTTTCAAAAGCCTTGATATGATGGCCAAGAGGAAGAAGGTTTGTGTTAACATGGAGGGCGGAGAGGTCCTGAAGAAAACAAGAAAGAGTGATCATCAGAGAATATTACCCAATAAAAACTAGAGAAAATCAATGCACACACTTGCTTTCCGCTTCCTAAGATGAAATCTCAACCATAATTAATGGGAAATCCAGGGAAGTTTGGAAAAAGGTACAGCTATTCTGTAAAATACCCTTAAAGGATCACTTTAGCATTAGGAATAGTCAGGTTCCACCCCATTCACTATATATGATCTAAAATAAAAGATTTACTTACATTTTTGTTCTAGCTCCCTCTGTGCTGTTTACCTCTCTGCCTCCAGTGATGTTAAGGAGGAACAGTGGCCTCCTCTGTGATGGCCCAAGCTAATAGAGGGTGCCTAATGCAAATGCATGGAGAGTGTTGTGCATGCATTCAAACTTTTCCATAGAAAATGCTTTCTTTTGGAGGCATCCGTGTCACTTGACCGAATTGTACTTTAGTGGCAGCGCCTCTAGTGGCTTTCATACTGACAGCCACATGAGGTATAATTAACACTGCAATGTAAATATTGCAGTTTCCAAAAAACTGCAATGTTTTACTTTGCAGGCAGGGCCGGCACTACCTTAAAGCACACTTCTACTGCTGGGCACTTCATGAAGTGTGACCGAGCTATGCCAGTACCTCTTGTGTGCAGATGTCAGGGATATGAATCATGTCATATCCTTGCTCCCTCTATACCACAAAGTGTGCTAGTGATGGTGTCTGACTGCAGGGTTAGTACTCCATAGAGCAGGACAGCATGCTCTCCAGCAAGATGCAAGTGTCAATTGTGACTGCATGTATGACTGTATGCCTGAGGTTTTAGGGCTCTGTATGACAGTGTCTGTATGTCTTTATGACAGTGTCAGTATGGCGGTGATTGACAGTGTCAGTATGGCAATGTGTGACAAAACCCCTATTTTGCCTTCCCAGGAGATATTCTCCTCCTCACTTCAGGAACCTGTTCAAAACTTTGTTTTATGCCTTCCTCACATTTGGGATTATAAAGTACCAAACACCGACCACCCCCTGGCTCATTAAGTACAAAGAAAACCGCAAGAATTAAGTGCTCTCTCTGTGTGGCCGCCACTCGTATAACCAAACGCCACATGGTGGAGAAAACAGCGGCCATCTTGTCGCACGAAAGTAGGCAGCGGGACTTGGCAGTCGAGTGTCTGTAACTCCAAGATGGACACTCGACGGCGCGATCACCTGTGAAACTACGCGAACGCCTGCTTCCTTTTGTGGCAAGCCAGGAGAGCGCTGTTCAGTAGGTTTGTTCGTATGGACCCCACGAATAAATGCTACCAATAAGCCAGGGGAACCGTTCTCCTTTTTCATACGTTTTGGACCTCCCGAACATGACCGATCGCTACCTCTAAAACTATGGAACTATTTTTGGGCAGGCCCCTCGTGAGCGGTCGGTCAAAACTACACCCCGGTGGCGATTCGGCTGTATTCGTGGGATCTGAACGCTGTTTGGACAACTTGGGCACTCAGATCCAGGCTATCCGGGGATGTGTAAACTATAGGGGTTCCTCTATGCGAAATATGTGTGTTTTCTAATAATTTGTCATTTTATGCTTAGTCATTGTGACATTACATTTTGTGGGTGTGTTTATGGGAGTGTCATGGGCGTGTTTACTGTGTTCCTGTATTTTATAAAAGCAGGCCATTGAGCCTGGATTAAACAGATCATTTTACCATCTCTCGCATCACTGACACTTGCATTCTGGCTGTGTCCTTAGCAATGGGTTGGAACGCAAGCATCCGGCCCCTTTTGGCTTCAGGCCTATTGCATGCTGTCGGGCAGCATTAGACCTGCACGCCATGGATCGGTCGGAGTCTCTGAGCATCTGTACAGGGTAAGCCTGATCACATCATTAATTTCGGTATATATTGTGAGAAGGATGACTGTTACACTGTTTATTTGTCCTGATGAAAGTCCCCAAGGATGGAATGAACTGTCGACTGATTTTAGATAAAGAAATAAAAGCTAAAGGGACACTATAGTCATCAGAACAACTACAGCTTAATGTAGTTGTTCTGGTGAGTATAATCATTATATGCAGGCATTTTCATGCACACACTGTCTTTTCAGAGAAAAGGCAGTGTTTACATTGTCACTAGGGACACCTCCAAGTGGCCACTCCTCAGATGGCCACTGGAGGTGCTTAATGGCTCAGTGCTGCAAAGTAGGCAGCAGTGCCGTTCAGCGTCTCCATGCTCTGCATGGGAATTAATTAATTAATTCAATGCAGCTCTATGAGGAGGTGTTGATTGGCCAATATGGTGGTTGGCCCTGCCCCCTTGCCCATTTTAGCCAATCCAATATATATATACATGTGGCAAAACAAGCCACTTAAGGATGTATTTTCATGTACCTGTTACTATACCTTTAAAGACTGTAAGAACCAAGGGAATATCTGTATAAGCATACTGTGCGAACGAGAGCATTCGTATGCTGGCGGCAAGAAAGCCACCAGCATTCATACAGTAGTTTCACGAACAGGGAATTCCACCCCTGTTCGTGAAACAAATTAACTACCGAATGGGAGACCACACACAGGAGGTCGTGTGGCTCCTATTAAGTGTTGCAACAATGTTTCATTCCGTAATTATAGCGATTCAGGGTGGCCGCCGTTCGGCTACCGACCACACGGCGGTCGGCCATCTTGGATCCTTTGTTAGCCCAGCGGTATTTGGTCGTCGAGCGCTTGGAACTAAAATCGGCTACTCGACGGCACGAATACCTCTGGACTTCCAGGCCGTTCGGGAGCCCCGGTCATTCGGTAGTTTGTTCCCCTAATGTCAATCGGTACTTTGAATGAAACTAGAAAATGTGTATTTCGTGCGGTGTTCGGTTGGTTATGCTGGGATCTGAGCGGTACTTTCACAAACTGTGCGCTCAGACCCCAGCTATCTACCGAACGTCCATTCGTTTAAATAGAGTGAATAATGCAAAAGTTATACATTTTTATGTGAAATATCGATTCTGGTGCACGGAGGGATAATCCACTTAACGGGATATTCCAGTGGGAGTATCCCTCTCGTCCAGCAGTGCATGATGGGAGAAATGTCCAGGTTGTTAAGTTCCCCATGTAGTCCCCTACTGTACCACCCCTGGAATGCAGCGTTTACATTACAGCTATGCTGTTCCTGTTACCCAGCGGAGATACTGTGGATTATACTACCTCTCCGCTACAATACACATATATAAGAATATACTGCACTAAAGTAGAACCTGTTTTTTCCATACCACCACAGTTGCAGGGGAATGCAAATACAGTAAAATTGCACTTATTCAGCCATACAGATGGGCACATATTCACATGGGGTTATTTCCTTAAGTACGAAAGTATATTTACAGAATATATGGAACTAACGTCAGAGTGCCTATGGATTGGCACTTTTGGTGGCACATTGCAAGGTTAATGCTTGCCAGCTTTTTGCCAACAAATGTGTTAAACAACAAAATGGGTAATATATAGGATCTCTTATACAGCGCACTGCTCAGTGGAACCCCCCTGTGGAATCACAGTGGGTAGATAGCCATGGCTTTGGAAGGGTTAAAATTTACAACAGGCTAAAATATTTATACATATACATAAATACTAAAGGCATGCCACAAGCATGATTTGGGCATGTACAGTAAATCCTATTAAAAGCAAAAATCTTATTAAAAACTTATTAGTAATTATTAAGAAAAGACAATAGAGAAAAGAATAACCCAGCACAACTACCTACTTATTGCACGAATCATGTTTGTGTCACTTACCAATTACTCCAAGCTTTAAACCAAACATCAATCCGATTCCTAATGGCAAACCTATGATATAATGTCCCACTGCAGTTACCACTGCTCCAACAGTTTGCTTCCCTGATCCTTGCAATATTCCACCGCACAAGCACTAAAAGAAAATATTGTTTTTTTATGATGTAAATGTTTTACTATATATTTACTTATATGTGCCTATTTCGCAGTTGTTACAAATCATTGCAGCTGGAAAACTTACATTGAGAGCATCAAGAATATGAAGTGGAGCTAAGATCAGGAGGAGTCGTGAAACCAGGAAAAGAATATCACTAAAGGTAAAGAAAAAAAAAATTATGATAATTAGGTTACCACTGATCTACTCTAGTAGCATACATAAACGGCAGAGGTGTAGTTTGCATGTCTAAAAGCCAGTCATGTGTTAAAGGAACCCTATAGGCACCCAGACCAGTTCAGCTTAATGAAGTGGTCTGGGTGCCAGGTCCATCTAGGATTAACCCTTTCTAATGTAAACATAGCAGTTTCAGAGAAACTGCTATGTTTACATTAGGGTTAATCCAGCCTCTAGTGGCTGTCTCATTGACAGCCGCTAGAGGCGCTTCCGCGCTTCTCACTGTGATTTTCACAGTGAGAAGACGCCAGCGTCCATAGGAAAGCATTGAGAATGCTTTCCTATGGACTGGCTGAATGCACGCGCGGCATGCGCATTCAGCCGATGACGGAGAAAGGAGGAGGAGAGGCCCTAGCGCCGAGGGAGCCCGGCGGTGGAAAAAAGGTAAGGGATTAACCCCTTACTCCCCCTAGAGCCCGGTGGGAGGGGGGCCCTGAGGGTGAGAGGCACCCAAGGACCCTAGAGAGCCAGGAAAACGAGTATGTTTTCCTGGCACTATAATGGTCCTTTAAAGAGACCCTACAGTCACCAAAACAAATGTAGCTAAATAAAGCAGCTTTTGTGTATAGATTATGCCTCTGAAGTCTCACTGCTCAATTCTCTGCATTTAGGAGTTAAATCACTTATTTCTGTCATGCAGCCCTAGACACACCTCCCCTTGCTGTGACTGACACAGCCTGCGTGAGACAAAAATATAACATTTTCAATCAGATGTAAGTTTTTTTGGTTTTTTTGCTCTATAATTTGAACTTTGCATACACAAGGTTCCTGTATGGTCTATCAAGCTATTAACAGAGCAGGAGATATATCTTTTTAATTAGAATATGTAATAAAAGAAGTTGAAACACTAGAGTCTTTACAGGAAGTGTTTAGAATGGCTGTCTTAGTCACATGCAGGTAGGTGTGACACAAAAACACGGTGATTTAAATAAGCACTATAGGGTCAGGAACACAAACATGTATTCCTGACTCTATAGGGTTAAAACCACCATCTAGCCACCCTGGTCCCCTCATGCCTCCCTAAAAATAGTAAAATCTTATTTGTATTCAAGTCTGGAGCTGAAGGCTTTGTCCCTGTTTCCTGTAGACCTGCCACTGCCTGCTGACATCAGCAGAAGTGGTAGCCTGATCCAATCACAATGCTTCCCCATAGGATTGGCTGAGACTAACAGGTGCAGAGCCATCACAATTCAAACACAGCCCTGGCCAATCAGCATCTCCTCATAGAGATGAATTGAATCAATGTATCTCTATGAGGAAAGTTCAGTGTCTGCATGCAGAGGGTGGAGACACTGAATGTTTGGATGCATTTTAGGCAGCCATGACCCAGGAAGGATCTCTAACAGCTATCTGAGGAGTGGCCAGTGAAGTTATCACTAGGCTGTAATGTAAACGCTGCATTTTCTCTGAAAAGACCGTGTTTACAACAAAAAGCCTGAAGGTAATGATTCTACTCACCAGAACAAATGCAGCTGTAGTTTTTCTGGTGACAATAGTGTCCCTTTAATACTGCAGGAGCATGATCTGTACACCAAAACTGCTTCATTAAGCTAAAGTGGTTTTGGTGACTATAGTGTAAAAAGTATAAATCTGCTGGAAATATTTGCTACGCTATGCTCTGAATCAGTCTAGCTTATAGGAATACATGAGAATTCAGAAGCTGTCTCTACCACAGGCACATACAAAAAATGTTTAGAAGACGGAAGTGTCATACGTCCACTCCTGAAAAGGTTGAGCCTAAAGTTTGAATGAGCATTGCTTTCCTATAAAATGACAATTGTTTGCCCCAACACGCCAATGAGCATGTCATTTTTCTACAAATACTGAAATAATGGTTTCTTTCATCACAAATGTCAGCGTATAAGAGAACAGTTAGCAAAGAAAAGTAAAGTTGTGGATGTTGGAATAATCATTAGTATATTTTGTTACTGTGACTATTTTGAATATTTAGTTAGAACAGAATATCCTTAAGGATGTCAGTCATTTATGAAGGCTACATGCTTAAAGTAACAAACCTTAATCTTATTGAAGTTGTTTTAGTACCTTCAGTCATATGCTCCCCCACTCCCATTCCCCTCTGTTCTACCCTGCAAAACCTTTTATTTTAATAGTTAGAAGGCTTGGAAGTGCAGCTTCAAGCCACGCATCCAAACCCTCTGGGTAGGACAGCCGGACAGTTACTTTCCAGCTCTCACACCCATGAGCATTGGATTGGATTTTCATAGTGGAAGCTTTCCTCCAGGATGATATCACATGCGGAGGAGCCCATGGCACCACAAGGGAGACTCAGACCTGGAGTAAAGGTGAGCAAAATCATTTTTATTTCATTTTAACAGAGTTCACTTGGTGGGCTGAAAACAACTAGGGACATTAAGATTATGGCGTTAGGAATGCAGATATGTATTCATAATGCTATAGTGTTCCTATAAGATATCGGCAAATTAATTTTACATGATCTAGATGGACCACACTTCTACATTGAGCTGTAAAACTAAATTAAGAATAAAGTCTGTTGTGTTTTGATAGGAAATGTGCAGAGTATGGGATCAACTGACATTTATGAAAATGTTTTACACTCATCACAATGCAAAGTTTACTGAATAAGTCCACAAGCATTGTATGTGCAATTGTAAAAAAAAGTATAATAATATATTTTTTAATATATATATATTATTGTTAAACAAATGGACACCAAGATCACTATAATGTGTAATTTGCTCAAGAACACGTCTCTAGTGGCTTTCACACAAACTGACTGAATTCAATTCAATGCTTCTATATATCTAATTCTAAATTAGACCAAGGGACACAAATACATTCATGTACCAACCTGTCTGTAGTGAAAACATATCCCAAGTGGTTGTGTAATGCAGCTATAAAACTAGAAGTCAGTAGGGCAAAAACTCCTGAGAAAAAAAAAAAAAAAAAAAAAAAACTAAACAAATTGCAAACATAACTTATTACCAAACTTTCGATTATTATATTATCACATGAATTTCTATTTACATGATGTTATATTAACACAATACTTGACATACTGTTATAGGAAATTAGTTGTTAACTGAACAGGCTGTCAAGAAATATGGCTTGAAAGATAGCTAAAAAGAGATGCATGATTTGCTAGTCAAACTAATTTACTACCTACAACTCTGTCAATGAGGGCCCAGACATTATACAAATGGTAAGATTTCCTGCTTAAATGGCCTGATAATGATTTGTCTGGTAACAATTTGGAAATTCAAAGATTTTATATCTTTGCTGCCCATCTTGAGTTTCCAAGCTGGCCCTGAACAAGTAAAAGGTGGAGGGTAGACTTGACTAGGCATTCTGGCTTGATGACACTAACCATTTAACATTTGGCCGATTTAATGAAATAATATATATACAAGGGTTTGGAGAAGGTTCCCTCTCTTGGATACAGAGATATTTTTTTCATATGTGGATTTGCCATAATTCCTTCATTCTAAAGACACTTTACTAGACCTGTCAGCAACTTAGAACAACTGACTTTCCTAATTCCACGGCTGGTCATATTTAGGCTTCTTTTGTAGTGAATACCTTCAGCATGTTGAATATGTAGAAGAGGAGGCACAAATATTCATCTCTACGTTATTATTAATATTTTTATGGGATATGGCTCTAAGCAGAAAGCCTGGTTCCTGACTCCTAATTGTCAATTAGCATATTAAAAGGGCACAAGGTTTCCTAAGCAGAGAGGGCAAATACACATGCATTTTCCTTGGGTGCAAAGTTGCAAACCTGGTCAGGGGGAAACAGCTAAATGTTTGGTTTAAATCAAGAGGAAGGAACCTAATTTGCAAATGTTTTCCTGTGTTAAGACAAATGGCAGATTACTCTAGCTGCAAAATTAACCCATTAAGTGCTAAAATCAACCATACTAATGGGTAACCATTCCCTGCATCTACTAAATTTTTTTGATTAGAACAGGTTATGCTCACTGGGCATGGCACATGGAATAATAGAAGACCAGAAGCTTGAAATGTTGCTGCTCTTTTTTGTTACATTAAAACTGCCTGCGGCTTAAACACCTTGAGTGCCTGGAGAATTTCTTGTGTTGCCTTATCGTTGTGGGATTGCTGGTCCTGCTCCAGAGCACCGGGTGGCTGCTGGGATTGAGTGCGGCTCCTACCATCACTTTTGCAAAGAAGTGTAATAAAACATTTTACTCACAAATTATTTTGCTACATTGTGCCACAAATTATTTTAAAGGATAATCAAAGCATCATAACCATTACAGCCCGCTGCTATTCCCCGGTTATAGAGCAAACTGTTTTCCAAATGTTGGTCTTTTTCCTGGGTCCTGCCAGGCATCGACCCTCCTTAGATTGTGACTACAGAAGAATATACTGATTCTGCTGGTCATTTATTGGCTGAGACCATCAACACTGAAAACAAACAGAAATGACAGTCAGCCTGGAAGTCTTGTACCAGGTTAGCTAGTGATGCTTCCGGAGTTAGCTCAATTTTCTCTGTGTTTTCAAAGTTTCAGTATGAAAGGTTGCTTGCACCATGACTTCTTCAAAACATTGAAGAGTTGTGGTGCTTGGCTGAAGATTTTAAAGGGACACTATAAGCACCAAAACAACTTTATCTTACGGAAGGTTTTAGTGTATAGATCATGTAAAATTCCCCTGGTGGTAATAATAATCCAGTATGCAGTCTCATTCAAGCTACAGTCTTCCCAAGTGTGTTACTGATGCTTTCAATTCAGGAACGGAGAGAAGTCGAGAATCCAGGTAGGTAAAAAAAAATCCTTTTATTGTACCAAAAAACTAGTGGTTTTAAATAATATATATTAAAAGTGTATCATAGAGCCCAGGTCCTACGCGTTACGTCCATACATAAACTTCATCAGGGTTCAGCACTGGTTCCCAGGTAAGTTTTAAACTATATTTTAGTGATTTTTATATTTAATAACAAATAGGGCACTTTAAACAGAAATAAAACAACTATAGCAAACAAAAATGGGCTGGAGTAACCCTTTAGGTTAAAATAGCCAAACTGGACTAATTGTTACAATCAGCTATGATTCTGTTTCTGCTACTTGGGTGTTAAATTCAAATTTACTGCGGTTCTCACTTTAATAAATTACCTTGTAGCTTTCACGGATATACATGGCATTTTTTAATAAGATCTTTGAAACTGTAATTGCTGGCTTACCTGTGCTAAAAAGTGAAACTTTAGAAGTGAATATGGCTAGCTTGACATCTCCAGCTCCTAGAGCAATTCCTACCCTGACACTTGTGGCTCCTGCAAAACCCAAAGATAGCTGTGGATGTAAAAAACGATAAGGTAATAATGGTTTAATTCTAGTTTGTATCATCAAAATCACATTTATGTATTAAAAAATCTGCAACCAATATCTAAATATGATGTCAGGGAAGCAGCTGACTGTCAGTGTCTGGATGGAAAATACATGCATAGAGGAGTGTAGAAAGAGATGATAAAAGGTATATAGGTTAGATAAAAAGAACTTATAAATATCTGACAAAAGCTTTAAGTTAATCAGCATTTTAAATTATTAATTGCGGTTAGAAAAACTTTACAACTTTACTTTGTCATTAATGTCTTTAGGATTTTTTTGTGGATACATAATTTGGAATTTTTTCTCACAGTATTGAATCATTAGGAAATCGTATTAAATTGAGGCAAAAGTTAGTTACACTCTGGGCATCATGACAACATCATCTGAATGAAGTTGTCATGGTGCCAGGAGGTCCCTGGCAATGACTTACTTTTAGGGGATAAACCGGTAACTAGCAGGTAAACCCCAAAGTGTTGAATCAGCTCCATCTAACTTCCCCCTCTCCTTCTGCTTTATCTGAGGGTTGAGAAGCCTTGGACAGGGGAGCCACTGGTTACCTGACAGCGTCAGCTGAAGTTTTCATCCAATCAATAACTCTCAATTCACAAAATGACTTGAGAAAAATACATACGTTTCACAAGCCTTTTTGTGAATAGGGAGCTACTGATAGTCTTAAAACATCTATATGATGCAATTGATTGGACCTTGTAATGACACCAGTGATGTCAGATGGGGAGTGGAGAGCAACACTTAATTTTAATTTTAAGTAACAATAACCTTTAAACAATTATGCCAAAAAGGTCACAGGTAAAAAAAAAAAAAAATAGAAGGGGGTAATAAATGCTACAGATTAGATAATTCATTTAAAAGAAACTGTAATAGTGCTTCAGCAAATTTCTCACCAAATAAGCCACTGTCGACAATTCCAACATTACGGACTGTGCTCCAAGTTCCACCACGCTGATAGCACCTACGGACAAGATATAGTTTTCTTGAACCACACAAATACATTTTCAGAGCTGCAGAAATTATTATGACTGATAGTAAATTAAATTCAACCAACAGCCATTGCTACCAGAGTTATTTAATGATCCATACTATATGTGACAAACTCCCCTTCTCACGTGAATTTGCCATGAGCTCTTGGAGGAGCCTGCTTGCCAGCCTCCTGCCCACAGACTATTGGTCCTGTAATATGCACCGTAAAAGTCTCCGTTCGTGTATTTGTACTATATGGTTCGGAACCGAGCAGCCACACGAACCAAAGACCACCCGGGAGCTTGTTACTACTTTGTAGCAATTTCCACCGCAGTGTTCTAAGTGTTCACATTTCCTATGGATAACCACGAGGTGGCGGCCATCTTGCTTGCACGAACGCAGGCAGCGGTGTTTGGTCGCCGAGTTCATGGAACTGAAAACGGACACAGAAAATCCTGAACATCGCTGCACTTCCAGAATCACCAGCGTTCGGTTCTACAACACTTAGGAGGCCACTGTTCAGTGGAAATGTTCCCACGAACAAGGGGAACAAGCTCCAGGGTAAGACTATTGACTATGTTCGATAGTTTGTTCGGTTTTAAACTACCGAATTAGATCGACCGCTAGCCCTGATCTTATGGCACTGTTATGGGCAGGAGCCTCATGTGCGGTTGGTCAAATTAGGACTTCCAGGAAATTCACGAACCCCTGAACCAATCTGGGTGATTTTCGAATATGTTGGTCACCCAGATCAGAGCTTTCATGGGATGTAACATTTAGGGTTTTTTAATGTCATTTTAAGGTACTTTTGGGGTGTTTGTGAAATGTGTGTTTTTTGTGTCTGGAGATAATCGAGTTTTGTACATTTCTAGACTCAATTATTTCACAGGCATAGGGGAGGGATTATCCTGTTTTCTGTGGTAGTGTCATGGGCGTGCTTGTAAGTTTTCAGAATTGTATAAAAGCAGGCCATCTGGCCAGATTAAAACATTCCAGCTTGTACTCCCAGAACTATGTGTCGTCTGGTTACTGGGAGGGGAAAGGGCTAATCATTAATCATTGTTCCCGTGTGGAGGACTCAATGGGGAAAGTCCTTGTAAGGACTAGAGCTTCCAGGACTAAGTGTTGTCCAGTGCCTGGGGGTGGATAGAGCGAGTTCCCCATTTGGCTTGAGGAGGTAGCGGTTCCAGGACCCCAGTCATGCCACGGTGAGAGTGGGCAGAAGTCCTGCGGTTTGTCCCCTGTTCCAGCTAGGAAGTGGTCCTTGGCGGAGGTACCCAGCCAAGGTACAGGGAGCTATAAGTACACTATGAGTACCAAAATAACATTTATACTGTGTTTCAACTAAAATATGCTAGAATTTGGTTTTAATAAAGCCATCTGGAAAGAAACCAACCTGATAAAAATGCTCCAGATTCATAGCTCCACCATTCTATACACACCATGAACATGCTAGGAATAGCTAGAAGCATAAATTCTTTCCACTCTTGCAGGCAATCTCTGGACCAACCTGAAATATAATCAACACAAAAAGATACATTATTTTAGTGACCAAATGTATGTAATGTCTTAATCTAAATGTGTTATCATAGAATTCATTTTAAATACAAGGGTTGAGCTTTCTAGCTTTTCATATAAATATCTATACTATGTATATATTTTTCAGTACACAAATACATGCATTTTGCACTCCATTTTGGTATATCTGAATCATCTTTCCTAAAACAAACATATAGTCAAAAAATGTCTGAAACGAAAAGTCTGAGGACTAAACCCAATTCGCCCAAAATGTATTTTTCTTTATGGTTGAATCAAGTCATACAAAAGTTTCTTGCAGTGCACAAGTCTATTATCTCTGTTAACTTTGATTATAAGTCAAGATACACACCAGAACAGAGCAGATATTGTTGAAGGGACACTGTAGGCACTGTAAATGTTTCATCTAATTGAAGTGGTCATAGTGTCTGGAGTTCCTTAACACTGTCCTGTTCATGCCATTGAACTGTTTTTCATGTGCAATGCTAAATGAGAGTCCCCAGCAACCCACGCTCTTTGTGGCCCTTTGACTAATGAGGAAGAATTAGACTGAGCAGTAACAGGCAACTGTGATTGGCTGATTATGTCAGCTCACTGCTTTTAGAATGTAATCACTGCCATAGCCATACCTTCAAAACAGGCAAGACATTTGATGCCCATTGATCCATATTTAGTGTTAAACTGCTGAAAAAACAATATCAACATTAACAGTGCATATTGCAAAACATTTATTTTAATGGTGTCTTTCTTCTTGATTGGACTCACATATAATTAAACCAATATCAACATTTGCTTCTGGTATAAAATATAATGGGACGAATAGATATGGTATATTCTCTAAGATATTAGAGGAGAGGACACAACCTTAAGGACACTAACGCTATTACAGTATACGCCAAATATCTTTGGGCTCTCATTCGTGTACAGTTGACATTTTTTACCTTCCATATACCTATCTTAATAGAATAGTGAATCTGTGCTCTAATACCTCTTTTTGTATGATTTTTCTTTTAAAAATGACATTTAGCAAATTATCATTCACATTCTTTTTGCAAGTGAGCTAATAATTTGATGTACTATATGCCCACTGCAGCGCTAACCGCTTGTAGGCAAATAGTTTAAAAAGCCTCAGTGGCGCAAGGGTTAATTATGTGGTTATCTTGCTAGCCAGCTGACATATTACAAAAGTAAATAAATAAAATGGGTGGGACTAGATAGACAGATAGAATGTGACGGCAGACAAGAACCATTCGGCACCATATAGTCTGCCTAATTTTCAAGATACGTTTAATAAGCCCCGGCCTTATCTTAAGTCTAGGATAGCATTATGCCTATCCCACGCATGCTTAACTCCCTCACTGTGTTAGCCTCTACCACTTCAGCTGGAAGGCTATTCCATGCATCCACTACCCTCTCAGTAAAGTAATACTTCCTGTTATTATTTTTAAACCTTTGCCCATCTAATTTAAGATGATGTCCTCTTGTTGAGGTCATTTTTCTTCTTTTAAATAAAGTCTCCTCCTTTACTGTGTTGATTCCCTTTATGTATTTAAATGTTTCTATCATATCCCCCTGTCTCGTCTTTACTCCAAGCTATACATGTTAAGATTATTTAAACTTTCCTTGTAAGTTTTATCCTGCAATCCATTAACCAGTTTAGTAGCCCTTCTCTGAACTCTTTCTAAAGTATCAATATCCTTCTGAAGATACGGTCTCCAGTACTGCGTACAATACTCCAAGTGAGGTCTCATGAATGTTCTGTACAATAGCATGAGCACTTCTTTCTACTTTTAATGCCTCTCCCCATACAACCAAGCATTTCCTGCTGCTCTATTACATTGTCTTCCTACCTTTAAGTCATCTGAAATAATTACAAATAATTACTCCTAAATCCCTTTCCTCAGATGTTGAGGTTAGTAGGGTATCAAATATCCTATACTCTGCCCTTGGTTTTTTTACGCCCAAGATGCATTATCTTGCACTTATCCACATTAAATGTCAGTTTCCACAGCTCTGACCATTTTTCTAATTTATCTAAATCATTTGCCATTTGGCTTATCCCTCCTGGAACATAAACCCTGTTGCAAATTTTAGTATTATCAGCAAAAAGACATACCTTGCCATCACAATATTCTGCAATATCACTAATAAAAATATTAAAGAGAATCCCTGAGGTACCCCACTGGTAACTTTCCTTTGCTTTGAATATACTCCGTTGACTAGAACCCTCTGTTGCCTGTCATTTAGCCACTGCCTAACCGATTCAACAATATTGGAATCCAAACTTAAAGATTGCAGTTTATTGATTAGCCTTCTGTGTGGAACAAAAGCCTTACTGAAATCTAGGTAAGCAATGTCAACTGTACCACCCTGATCTTTTATTTTAGTTACCCAATCAAAAAAAATCAATAAGATTAGATTGGCATGATTTCCCTGAAGTAAACCCATGTTGTCTCTGATCTTCAAATCTATGTGATTTCAGATGTTCAACAATCCCATCCTTTAACATGGCCATTCCCTCAACCGATGCCCATGGACGGGACTATGGTCACCCTCCACCCATTATTTCACTGGCCCCATCCCCAAGAGCAATGACTGCCCAGTCTCTAGCTTTAAACATTTAGCAAACACCCCCCACCTGCAAGGTGGGGTGAGTAAATATCTACATTATAGTAATATGGTATATAGTAATATAGTAACTCTTTATATGTGTCAATTGGCTATCAAGCTCTGGCCAGCTTCCACATAAATAAGCTGTTTTTGCACCCTGACTGCAAGCAGGAAAGTAGTTTGGATACTTGAATTCTCTGGGCCATAATTTAATTAATTTGGTCTAGATTTCAGCCATCTGTCTGCATTCAAGGCGTGTTTTACACAATCCGGTCATCGCTTAATTCCTTTTCAAATATGTTTTAATTACATTTAAATAAATCATACATTATAATAATAATAGACATATAATAAACTGTAAATAATTGGACAAAGTCAATAATATACGAACAACAACAACAAACAAGAACTGGGGAATATTGACAAAACTAGACATCTAAGAAGAATTACTGTACACTATTATAAAAATTAAAGAGAGAGAGAAAAAAAAAATATATATATATATGCTAAATCAAAGAACAATGAAATGTCAAATATAGTGTGTTGTACTTTCTACATCTATAATCCTATAATCAAAAAGCCCGTATTTACATTTCATATAGTTTTCCCTTGTTGTGCATTGATGTTTTAAAATGGATGTTAAATTTAATGGAGTGCTAACTCGCATCTTTTATTATCGATGAAGCAGTGGATGATTTCCAATGCTGTGCAATGATGGAAGAAGCTGATACAAGAATGTGGCCCATTTTTGTAATGTAGCAAATTATTAGGATGTTTCTTAAACAGACAAAGACTCAGGGATACAATTACATTACATTCTGTGATTTTATTAATTTGAGAATTTCTACCCAATATTTTTTAATCTCGAGGCATGAGTAGAATATATGAAATAATGTTCCTGTCTGACTACATTCTTGAAAGGTTTGGATGGGGTTAGGTACCATCTATAAATTAATTTATAATTGGATTCTAAATGATTGATGCATTGTGTGGTAACTTTTAATGCAAGCAAGAAGTCATTCCATTCATATACTGTATATACTCCACCCACTTCACGCTACCACTTCAACATGTAGTCTTCTTTAAGACTCATGTCACCAGCAAAAATATTATAACACATGGAGATAATGTTTTTTTCGACCAGAATCCAATAGATTACACTTTGATCCTGATCAGAAAGATGTTCCCTAATTATTGTCAGTAACAGGCCCGGACTGGCCATCGGGCATACCGGGCAAATGCCCGGTGGGCCGCGATGGCCGTGGGGCCGAGGCCGGCAGGGAGATCACAGGATCTCCCCGGCCGGCCCCTGCAGGGCCAGCGCTACCTGAGCGCCGGCCCTGCTGTGTGCCTCCATGGGCCGGTGGGGAGATCTAAGATCTCCCTTTACCGGCCCAGAGACACTTCCAGGCGGCCGCTTGCTGGGGTGTGAGGGAGGGAGGAGAGGACCGGCGGAGCTCTATCCAGCAGCTCCGCCGGTCCTCTCGCGGGATCTCGCGAGAGTGAACTCTAGCCTACAGGCTAGAGTTCACGCTCACCACTAGGACCACCAGGGATCAGGCAGCATGGCTCTCCCATGGCAGAACGGCTCCCCCCCGTCCCAGGCAAAACGGTTCCCCCCCTCCCAGGCTAAAGGTAAGAAGGGAGGGGGGGGATATAACTTTTTTAAAAATTATTATTATTAATAAAAAAAAAAATAATTTAAATTAAAAAATCACACACACACACATCACCCCAGACACACACAGCACCCCCAGACACACACAGCACCCAGACACACACACATCACCCAGACACACACACAGCACCCCCAGACACACACAGCACCCCCAGACACACACAGCACCACACACACACACACACACCAGACACACACAGCACCCCCAGACACACACACAGCACCACAGACACACACACACCCCCAGACACACACAGCACACCCAGACACACACAGCACCCCAGAGACAGCACCCCCAGACACAGCACCCAGACACACACACCCCAGACACACACACATCACCCCAGACACACACACACACCCCCACACACACATCACCCCAGACACACACAGCACCCCAGACACAGCACCCCACACACACACAGCACCCCCAGACATTCACATCACCCCCAGACATACACACAGCACCCAGACACACACAGTACCCCCAGACACACACAGCACCCAGACACACACAGTACCCCCAGACACACACATCACCCCCAGCACACACACACACAGACACACATCACCCCCAGACACACACAGCACCCCCAGACATACACATCACCCAGACACACACAGTACAGACACACAGAGCACCCAGACACACACAGCACCCCCAGACACACACAGCGCACTCAGGCACACAGCACCCTCACTCACACACAGCACCCTCAGACATACAGCACCCTCGCTCACACACACATATATATATGTGTGTGTATGTATATATATATATATATATATATATATATATACACACACACACACACACACTACAGCACTACATACATTACGCTCCAGATACACGCTAGATCCCTTACCTTATATGCACTCTTAATCCTCTATACACACACACACAATCTCATATACACACTCTGGGTCCTTTACACACTAGATCTCCTACACACACACACTGCACCACCTACACACACACTACATTCCTTGTCAGCAAACACATACAACATTCTCTAAACACACCCTCTCTACAACCACTACACACACTACGTCACCTATACACACACACTACAGCCCGTATGCACACACTCGCTACATCCCCTATAACACTATGCCCCCTATGCATACACTCTCTACAGCCCCTAGCCACACATATTACACCACAAACACAAATGAAATTGACCTATTTACACAATACCACACTCTACACACATGCACCATACACTTTCCTGGTCCTTTTGTCCTCTGGTATCCCACTTGTTGAGACACCAGAGACAATTTAAAAGCAAACACAGCGCAAGCATGTTATTAAATTTGCTTGCGCTGCACAGAACAAATACAGGGCCTTTTTCTAATGCCAGAGCTCTTCAGCGCAGCTCTGCGCATTGAACCAACATGCTCACTTTGAGAGGAGGCGTGCTTGTCATTAGTGATGACAAAACACACCCTCTCTGGCACCGCCCCCTTCTTAGGGGGCCGCTCTGATTGAAAAATGCCCGGGCCTAATTTTTTTCCCAGTCCGGCCCTGGTCAGTAATCTCTCATGTGTAGGGGCATCTAAAGAACTTAAACCACATTTTTGTTTCAGTTGATCAAGAGGTAGAAATCTATTGAACAAAAATGAACTGTTAATATGGACAATCGAATGGAGGTCCAGTAATCCACATCCAGATCAGGCAAAGCAAAACGCAAATGCTGACAAGGTTGTGGCCCTGGACCAAGTGATGGAAGGGAAAATATTCATGAACAACAGATCCTACATTTTAAGGATTGTTTTAGTGGAGTGGAACATTTCCCCTTCCTGAAGACGTTGAGATGGAGGCAATCATAACATGTCTTTTATTCAGTAAGGATAAATTTTATTTGCTTCCATCTCAAGCCATTGAGGTCTAGTGGTATCCAAATTAAATTTGATTGCCATTGCTTTATTAGTTGCATAATAATAATGGATAAGATCTGGCAGACCCATACCAGCCCTGGGTTTTTGTAAAATGTATTATTTAATCCTGGTTGTTTTGTTGTTCCATATAAATGTTACAAGGGTCGAGTGAACCTTTCTAAAAAAAAAAGATAAAGGGGTAGTGAGGGGGATAGTTCTGAGAAAACATTTTTGAAAGGACAGTCATCTTAACTGAATTGATCCTACCTAACCAAGAAATTGCGAGATTACACCATCTCTCAATGGTTTCCCTAAGTTCGGAGCAGATCCTACCTAAATTACATACATGCATCTTGGAGAGGTTCTTGCAGAGATTAATGCCCAGATAATAAATATAAGATTCCCTCCAATCGAAGTCATATAATGTTTTCAATTTTTTCATGGTATCTATATCATACCATGGCATAAAATGTTTTAGAGCTTGAGTCTTGATCGTGTTTAATTTGTAAAATTTAATTTTGCCAAATTCCTGCAGAATAGACATCAGCTGGGATATTGAGGTCACTGGATTTTTTAAAAGATAGGATGATGTAATACAAATAAACCAATTTTATGTTCTTTATCCCCTGTTAAAATACCTTCAATATCTGTTGAATGGCATATCATCTCAGGCAATGGTTCCATCGCCATCACAAATAAAAGTGGTGACAATCAACAACCCTGTTTAGTTCCATGGGATAGTTTAAAAGTATCAGACATGAATCCACCCACAGATACTCTTGCCGTTGATTGGCAATATAACACAAACACAGCCCTGATGAAAGGATCAGGTATATTAAATTGCGACAGTACCTCCCTAAGGTAATCCCAGTGAATTATATTAAATGCCTTCTCTGCATCTAAAAAAAGAAGCAGAGAAGACGTGTGATCGAATCTAATTTGGTGAATCAAATTGATAAAATGGCATGTGCTCTTAACTAATCTTACCTGATCTATATAAATTAATAACAGGAGAATCTGAGTCAGTCTGTTTACCAAAATTTTTGAGTACATTTTTGTATCATTATTTATTAATGAAATGGGACAAAAAGTTGAGCACGCAATAGGTGCTTTGCCAGTTTTTGATAATGTGACTATTTGAGCATTTAGAGCCTCCTCTGGCATTTCTTCTGTTTTCCAGTAATGACTAAATACTTGAGTTAAGTGTAGCATTAAAATGCCAGTGAAGGATCTGTAATAAGACATTTTGAACCTGTCAGGGCCAAGGGCCTTTTCCATTGGGATCATATTGATAACATCAGCAATTTCTTTTGAGGAAATTGGAGAACTTAATGTATCCAATTTGTCTTTGGGAGTTTGCGTCAGAGGAACCTTATGCAAATATGACTATACCCTATCTGTTGTTGGTTGTATGATATTGTGAACAGAGAATTATATAGCTTTTTATAATAATCAGCAAACATATTACTGATTTTTCCAAGATGAGTCACTTTAATACCCTCATGATTTATTAAATGCTCAATTCTGTACTGGGAGATTGTGGGATAATTTAGAGGTTTACAAAGAAGAAGCTTTATTACCGTTAGCATAAAAAAATAGCTTTAATCTCTTTAGCAACAGGGGTGTGTTTTTAACCAAAGTGTATTAATATTGATTTCAACATCAAGGATCTTTTCAGCAAGGAAGGAAGAAGGGTCAAATTTATTTGCCAAATTTAAATTATCTAATTATTTTTATAATTATAATTACCTTATAAAACATCTTTATGGGTGTTCCATAAAGAAGTAATATCAACACTTTCCCTGAAATAATTTTTTTAGCTCAATTTCGGCAAAAGTCTTATTTTCAAGTTCAATGACCAAGAAGTCACTTAGTCTCAATTGTCTATCTGGGTTTGATTGGAAGGACTCCTCTAAATATAACATTATGGGGGCATGGTTAGTCCAGTTAACGTCTAGAATATCTGAACGTGTAATAAAGGAATTACATTTTCACCCGCCAAGAACCTGTCAATCTAAGAGTAAAAGTTGTAAATAGTTGAGTGATAAGCGTAGTCACTCTCTCCTTCATGTAATATGCGCCAACAATCAAATAGGCCTTGCTAAAAAGGAATTTCGAGCATAAATTATCAAAATTTTCACTATATGTTCTTATTTTTTATAAATTCTTTGTTTATATTTTTCAAATGAGTGGGGTACAGAATAAAGAAGAGGGGTGGATTCATGTCGGTAGATTACAATCATATCATTGTCATGAGGATAAGGTGATACACATAAGAATTCAACTAAAAGCCTCCATACATATTTCGTGAGTACGTTTAAATCTCTATGTTGCTTGTGTGGTAAGGTACAGACTGGTACATGGTACCTTGTTTGGGTCTAGATGCATTATTGCTAGTATCGGTCTTTGTGTAAACCCATTTCCTTGTGTCGGCCCCTGGTGAAGCGAGGTTAGGGATTGCAGAGTGAGGGGAGTGGGGTGGATGGGTTGTATGGAAAGTTCCTCCAAGGGGTAGGTTTGGCTGAATTGCCCTCATCAGGGGCGGGTAGACAGGTGGAAGCCCTGCTTCTGTTAGTTAGTTAGTTGTTGGGTTTTTACCGCAAAGCTGATTGTTGACGTTGTGGTGGTTGGTGTCCAATCGTGTTTGGACCTGGGAGGCCTCTGTATGGTTGTAAGTCTGTCTATGTACCTAGAGTGCTTTAGGCAGGGGCGGGGCTCTAGAGAGTAGTGTTGAGTTGGTGTGGCTGGTGTCTGTTATTTTCCCTTGTGTAAGGGTTGTCGTGTCGAAGCTTTTCCTTTGTGGTGGGGTGTTAGAAGGGATATGTGTGTAGGAGGGGAGAGGAGAGGTGGTGAAAAGGTGGAGGGGTGGTTTCTGTTAGGGAGGGGGAGAACAAGGAGAGGAGTTGGGGGGCTTGTGGTAGGGGGTAGTGGAGGGTTTGGTTCCCTCAGGTTGCAGCCACACGCCCCCAGCCCTCCCCCCTACGGACTCCAGGATCAAGGGGTCCCAGATTTTGTGAAAATGTCTCATTGTTTCATGTATTATGGCAGAACGTTTGTCCATTTCCATCACCTCAATTGTCTTATGAAGCATTATCTTCAGGGAGGGTTTGTTGTGGTTGCCCCATGGTTCAGCTTTTGTGAGTCTGATGGCTAATGCGAGCTTAGCCACAAGTTTGTTTTGTGCTCTAGTGAGTGTATCTTGGGGTGTTGATAGCAACCAAAGCCATGGGCCATGGGTAGGGTGGTGTGGAGGATTTTGGATGCAAGGTCAGAGACATTACCCAGAGCTAGGAGATCGAGGGGCAGTCCCACAATAGGTGGATATATGTGCCTTTATTTCTGCATTTTTTCCAGCAGGTGTCTGTGTCTGATCGCCCCATTTGTTTCAGTCTGAGGGGTGTGAGGTACCACTGAGCAGCATTTTATAAGCCTGTTCTTTATGATTTACACAGCTCATGAACAAAGCCGTGGCTACCCAAATGTCTGCCCAAGCGGAGGGGTCATCCGGTGGGCCAATGTCCCTTTTCCCATGCTGAGGTGTATGTAAGTGCATAAAGTGCGTCCGCTAGAGAGTTTGAGCTCAGGAAGGAGTATATCGTGGAGATTTGTACCTTTTAGATGGGTGCCTGTATGCAGGCCCTTTCAAACTGTGTTAGTGTGGTGTTGGATGTAGCCCTAATTGTTGGTTCGTTGAGGAAGCTGCGCAGTTGTAAATACCGGAAGAGGTCAAAGGTGGTCAATGGTGTCGTTCTCGGTAATTCTGTGAATTGCAAGAGTTGTTGGTTACGGAAGTAGTGTAGGATTCTTAGCAGTCCATTATCCTCGAAGTGCGCAAAGTCTTGTTTGTTTCGCAAGACTGGTGTAAGCGAAGATGGGGTGTTTACTAGTGGGTTACACGGAAGCAGTTTGTCCCAGAGTTGGAAGGAGGGCTTTAGGGCTGGTGTTGTCGGTGGGGTGTCTGGTCTATCTTTTTTGGGGAGACAGAGGAGGAGTGAGGGGAATTCCCTACCCATGAGATCATGTTCAAGGTCTACCCAGAGTTTCATGCCTGGTTGTGCATGTAGGTTCTGGATTTGTGCGGCCTTTAAATAGTGATAAAAATTCGGGAGGCCCAGGCCTCCTGCTCTGGTTGTTATTTACATTGTGGTTCTTTTAAATCTCGTTTTTTTTGCCTGCCCATATGAAGTGATTTGTTTTTGATTGGAGAAGTTTTGTGAGGTGGGGTATTAGGCTGTTCGAGAATGTCTTGTAGTAAAAGCCGGGGAAGCCACCCGGGCCTTGGCATTTGTTATGTTTCATTGTCTTCAGTGTGGCTGCTATTTATTCCTTTGTTATTGGAGTTGATATCCTCTCTATGGCTTCCTTCTTAAGGGAGGGGAGGGGAATTTCTTTGAGGTAGCACTCTATAGCCCTTTGAAAGTATGTCAGATGTTGGCGTATGTCTGGATTGTGGTCACATAGGGAGGAGAAGTATTTTGTGGTGATGCAGTTGGGGTGTCGTATATGGGTCCCTTGGGTGAAGAGATTTTATCTATGCGTTTGGATTGAGCCTTGTGTAGGAGTTTGGGCGAGGAGGGTGTCAGCTTTGTTGACGTTTCGTAATATAATTGTCTCGTCCACTGGAGGGCTTTCTGTGCGTCTTTGGTTATAAAGTTTCTAGTTGCTTGTTGGTATGTTTTGAGTTGATTTGCCAATTCAGGGGTGGGTTTAATTTTGAGGTGAGGTGTGTTTTGAGGTCTGTCAGTAATCTTTTTTTTCTGTGCTGTGGCTTCAGCTAATAATTTACCCCGTATAACTGCCTTGTGGGCAGCCCACACAGTGGCGATTGAGGGGACGGACTCAGTGTTGAGGGTGAAGTAGTTGTTTATTCCTTGTTGGATGACTGTCCTGATATGTGTGTTGTGGAGTAGGGCAGGATTAAAACACCAGGACCATGGCCTGGCTACCTGGGGGACTTCAAATGTGAAGGAGATGTCTGCATGGTCCGACCAGGTGATGGAGCCGATAGAGTTCTTCATGGAATGGGGTATTAGGGAAGGCGATATCAGGAACAGATCAATCCTAGTTTAGGATAAGTGTGGGTGTGAAAAGAAGGTGAAGTCCTGTGTAGTAGGGTGTTGAAGTCTCCATATATATTGGAGGCCTGTGTTAGTTACAAAGTTCAAAAGAAGTTTATCGGCTCTGGTAATCGGAGGTTATCACATTCTTTGGGTGCAACAGCGTCTCCTGACGTTGGGGGCGAGGGGATGGGACTGTGTTATAGTCTCCTCCTATTATCAGATGGTGAAAGGAGAATAGTTTTGAGTGTCCAGAAAGGCTGTCCAGAAAGGTTGGTCAGGTGTGTTGGGGGCATATATGGAGGTGACGGCATATTTGTGAATGCTTACGTGTCCTGTTATGGTCAGAATTCTACCTTGAGGGTCTGGGAATGCTTGGGAGAAATGGATAGGGCAGGATTTATGAACCAGTATTGCCACTCAGTTATGTTTCCCATTGTTTGGGTTTCCCATGTAGCATTCAGTGTAGTTTCTGTTACGTAAAAGGAAGGGTTTTGAGTGGTCATAGTTTGTCTCCTGGAGGAGGAGGAGGTTCGGCTTTAGTTCTGTTTGACCATCTTAGTAGTTGATGGCGTTTAGCGGGGTTATTCAACCCCTTGCAGTTAAGGGAAACACAGGAGATTGACGCTGGCATTCTTGGCTAGAGACGTCGGGGGGGTAGGAGAAGATCTGTGGTATTTGGCCCGCGTGAATCAGTACCCGCGGAGGAGCAGTCAGGTCCGAGGCATGAGGGCGCCCACCGACCAGAAGTGGGCTAGGAGGGGTGGGGGTGAAAGAGGGAAGGTTTAAGGGGGTTGGAAGGGAAGAGGCGAGAAGGAGAGGGGCGTTTGAGGGGGGTAATGAGGTAAGGGGTTGTGTGTGGTGTGGGTGAGTAGGGACCCTGGTCTTACGGTTTGTCTGTCAGGTGTTGGTGAGGGTCAATGAGTCTGCCACAGGAGTGGTGTAGTTGTTAGGGTGTAGTTCCTGATGGGACCCTATCAGGGTGCAAAGGGGGAGAGAAGAGGAAGAATTTTCACATCCCCAGCTCTCCCTCTCCCCACACACTGTGTTCATTGTAGCACTCATGATGTTGCTTATGAGGGTAAAATAGTCTGCGTCTTGAGTACCCACTTGTGTTCTCACATGCAGGGTTTGAGTTGGGGGAGAAAGGCATAGTCCGTGCGGCGTTTAGTTGCTCTCCAGGAAGGGCGGCCTGTTGGGCGTTGTGAGTATTCGCTGCTGCTCCGTCAGACCCCTGAGGCAACTTTTTCTTCTTGGTAGGGCGAGGAGAGCGTGGTCTTTCTCAAGGTCGAACTTCTTCTCTGTTTCTTGGGATGGTTGGTACATCTAGTAGTTGTATTTCCACAGAGTCCGCAAAGGGCTCCATCTCTGAAGCATTGGAGAGGATGTGAGTTTGTCCGTCATTCTTCACGATGATATTGAAGGGGAATCCCCACATGTATTTCAGCCCGTGTTGGTGAAGGGCTAGCGTAAGGGGTTTGAGGTCCCTTCTTTTTTTGAGCGTGGTTGGGGCTAAGTCCTGAAAGAAGGTCAGGTGGGAGTCCTGGTAATGCAGTGGGTGATCTCTAGCAAGTGATAGTAGCTAATAGTGTATACGTATGATCACGTCTCTTGGGCTTATGGCGTTGATGGCCGGAGTACGTAGTTCCCTATGGGCTCTATCCATTTCCATGTCTCTGGTGGAAAGCTCATGGGCCATAGATTTGAAGATGTCCCTGAGAGTGGCAATAAGTAACTCGAGGGTAATGGTCTCTGGCAAGCCTCGTTTTGATATCCGGACCTCTTCTTAGTTGGTGCGCGAGGCCAAGGCCTCCATGTCTTCCTTAAGGCCTGCAATCTGTTTACCCAACTCCGTGGCCATGTGGACTGTGATATCCGTTGTGGCATCCCTTAACACGCTTCAGAGGACTCCGATGGTGAGGAGAGCCGGCGGGTCAGGCTGAGTGTCGTTCCCTTCTGACTCTGATCCAGAGTCTTCGGTGCGTTGGGAGTTGGTAAGCCTCCACTTGTCTCCCGTTGTGTGGAATAGTGAGGCGACCGATGGTGTGTGGTCTTTCCTTTTTTTCCCGCCGCCCATCATCGTGGGATTTGCAGTGGGCTCTGGGAGGTTCGGAGCCGTGAATTCAAGCGTCCAACAATTTTAACGATGCCTTTAAAGTCTCTGACAATATCTTTACCATAATCTAAAATAAAATGAGTGTCCCCTCCTATAATTAATCTACCCTTGACATTCTTGGAAACCTTATTAACAATTTTTTTCAAACACTGAAATTGGTCAGAGTTAGAGAAATAAACATTTGCCAGAGTGTATTCCACATTATTTAATAATTCATTCCAAATCCCATATTTGCCCTGAAAGGCAAAGTGGCACTGAGTGGGTAATCATTGTTGAATTCCATCAACAAAGTCTGGATTTTGCAGTGCAAATGGCCCATTATGCAGCTGGATGTTTTTGCATCATTTGGTTTTGGCCTTTTGAAGTTTAGTGAATACCCATGCAAATATCATGTCCAAGTTTACTTTTATTAACCTTCTTTACACGGTTTCACAGATGGATTCTGCTAAAAGAAACAAAACAAAAAACCCAGAAAAAAACTCTGTTTAAACATATTGCTTCCTTGCATATTTCTTCCAGTTCCATTATTTAATACTCTAGCAATCCCAGTAAACAAAGTAAGTAGTCACATACCTGCCCATGTTTCTACATGAAGTTTCTTCACATATATGCACATAAAAAGTGCAGCACACATTGAAATTTGGGAAATTGTGTTTGCCCAAGCTGAGCCTCTGTTGATAGAAACACAATAAAGGATTAAAACATGGATTTTAAATCATATTAACAGCAGACGGATGAACAAGACTTCATATTTAAATACATTAATTGGTATAATTGTCCTCATTAGCAACAAATGCATATGCACTGCCCATTATTGTGAGTTTTATTGCAAGCTTCAGGAATTTTACTGGAATATTGGAGGAAGGCAGATGTTGTCCCTATATTTAAAAAGGGTTCAAAATCCTTGCCTGGAATTTATAGACCTTTGTGATTAACCTCTGTGACTGTGAAAATATTTGAACGGTTATTAAGGGATAATATTCAGGAATTCATTGGGAAGAACTTTGTTATTAACAATAATCAGCATGGTTTTATGAAACATAGGTCATGTCAAACTAACCTAATTGCATTCTACAAAGAAGTAAGTAGAAGTATAGATCAGGGTGTTGCAGTGGATGTGATCTACTTGGATTTTGCAAAGGCGTTTCATATGGTTCCTCACTATAGGCTAGTGTTCAAACTAAAAGAAATCAGTCGAGATGAATATTCTTCTTCTTGGGTAGAACATTGGCTTAAGGATAGAGTACAACGAGTAGTCATTAATGGTAAATTTCCAAGATGGACAAAAGTGGTGGGTGGTGCCCCTTAGGGTCTGTATTAGGACCACTTCTATTTAACATATTTATAAATTATATTGAAATATGCATTGAAAGCCATGTTTTAGTGTTTGCAGATGACACAAAACTTTGCAAATACAATGTGAGCAGGATATTGCATTGCTGCAAAGGGACTTACATAGACTGGGGGACTGGGCACTAAAATGTCAGATGAAATTTAATGTGGAAAAATGCAGTTATGCACTTCAGGGTCAAGACTGCACGAGCAACTTACACTCTAAATGGTAGTGAATTAGGGATAACAAACACAACACACAAGAAGGATTTTGGAATTGTTATAGACAACAAATTAGGCAACAATATGCAATGTCAATCTGCAGTTGCTAAGGCCAGTAAGGTTTTGTCATGTATAAATAGGGGCATACATTCTCGTGATGAAAATATAATTTTGTCTCTTTATAAATTGCACAAGAAAAAGTGCTGAGCTACAAAACTGATAAAAGGAATGGAGCATTTTAGTTACGAAGAAAATGTAAACCTCTTTAGTTTGGAAAAACTGCACCCCAGAGGGGATATGAAAACATTATAGAAGCACAGAAACATAGAATGTGACGGCAGATAAGAACCATTCAGCCCATCTAGTCTGCCCAATTTTCTAAATACTTTTATTAGTCCCTGGCATTATATTAAGTCTAGGATACCCTAATGCCTATCCCAGGAATGCTTAAACTCCTTTACTGTGTTAACCTCTACCACCTTGGCTGGAAGGCTATTCCATGCATCCACTACCCTCTCAGTAAAGTAATACTTCCTGATATTATTTTTAAACCTTTGCCTAATTTAAGACTATGTCCTCTTGTTCTGGTAGTGTTTCTTCTTTTAAATATAGTCTCCTCCTTTACTGTGTTGATTCCTTTAAGTATTCTAATGTTTCTATCATATGCCCGCTGTCTCGTCTTTCCTCCGATCTATACATGTTAAGATCCTTTCCTTGTAAGTTTTATTCTGTAATCCATGAATCAGTTTAGTAGCCCTTCTCTGAACTTTCTCCAAAGTATCAATATCCTTCTGGAGATATGGTCTCCAGTACTGCGTACAATACTCCAAATGAGGTCTCACCAGTGTTATGTACAATGGCATGAGCACTTTCTATTGCTAATACCTCTCCCTAAACAACCAAGCATTCTGCTAGCATTTCCTGCTGCTCTATTACACTGTCTGCCAACTTTTAAGTCATATGAAATTATTACCCCTAAATCCCTTTCCTCAGATGTTGAGGTTAGTAGGGTATCATATATTCTATACTCTGTCCTTCGGTTTTTACATCCAAGAAGCATTATCTTTCACTTATCCACATAAAAAGTCAGTTGCCACAACTCTGACCATATTTCTAGTTAAGAAAGTCTTAACCTTTTTTTAAATGATTTAAATGTCAATAGTTGGGGGATTTATTTAACTTCTACTTACAGTACTAACCATATTAATTTTTTAGATTTAGAGGTTTTTATTTCTAATTCCACTATCAATACCAGGAACCATTTTAAAGATGTCGACGCCAATAGTTATATTGAGATGAGCAGTTGCCATTATCCACCATGGTTAAAGAATGTACCAAAGAGCCAATTCCTACGAGTACGGAGGAATTGTACTCAAGAAATTGACTATATCTCTCGAGCAGAGAGAATTAAGGAGCAGTTTTTAGATAAAGGGTATGAGATTGACACACTACAGAACTGCATTGAAGAAGTTAAAAAGATTGACAGAAAAGATCTTATCCGTTATAAAAAGCCACATAATAGAACTACTGATAAACATACATTTAATATGCCTTTTATATGTAACCATAGTGGTAATAACCACAAAATTAATAAAATCGTCACTAAATATTGGCCAATCTTGAAAGAAGATCCTATACTAAGTCAAATTTTACCTAATCGACCAAAAATGGTTTATCGTGGATGTAAAAATTTGAAGCAGATTTTAGTAAAAAGCAGTCTTAGAACACAACCTCCAACGCATTTTTTAAACAAAAATAAAGGGTTTTATGGGTGTGGGTCTTGTCTTGCTTGTAGGGAAACCAATAGCACTAAAAGACATATCACTTCATTTACATATAAAGATAAAAAAGAGTTTACTATCAAAGACCAATTAACCTGTTTCTCAAAATGCGTGATTTACATTTTAAAATGTCCTTGTAATTTAATTTATGTTGGCCGAACGATTAGATGCCTACATACTAGAATTGCGGAACATGTACGCAATATAAAAAAAGGTTTGGAGACACATAGTGTCTCACAACATTATAAAAAATGTCATAATAGTAATCCAAGGAATCTAATGTTTTGTGCAATCAAATCCGTTT